AAGAAGGACCAGATGGAAGCTTCAATCCAGGAGTTTTGTGACCGCAGCCAAGAGCTGGTGGACACCTTCAAGAAGTCCGTTCAGGCGGGCCACCTTATTCCACAGGTTGAGGTCCCCAAACTTAAGGGCCATCACGACTTGGTGTTGAAGTAAGTCTCGTTGCAAACCCACGTCACTGGTTACCCCATATTATGTGGACCTGGGACCTGCATGGACATAGGGGGAAGGAACAGATTTAATGTTGAGGGTGCCAGGATCGGGGGCATGCGGGTTGGGTGGGATTCGCAGAAGCCCTTTGCAGGGCTGGTGTACAGATGGAGAGCCAGCAGAATTGTTGGCTGGATCTCTATGCAAATCCACACTGTTTCCGGGTTTGCGTACTGTTTTCCGGTGCTACCTACATGCCGCCCAGCGAACAATGGAGACTTCGCTTCGGAGTGACAGCAGAATCGACAAGTTGTTGACGGCAGTGGTCACCAAATTCTCCTCGGATTCTGGCACCGGCCCCTCTGATTCTTGATATTTTACTATAACTGAGACAGTGTAGGATTCCAGTCCCAAGTGCGAGTGGTTATCAATGAACAGTCGTGCAGCTAAGGGTACGGCTCCCTCGCCAGGGGCCTGGGCAACTCGCCGAAGCTCAAGGGCCACTTCAGGGCCACTGAGCTCAAAGAGCTCGACGAAATCGCCGAGATCAAGCCGCTGTGCGAAGTACTTCTCAGACAAACCCCACCCCGGTCCACCCAGTGAACACTTGACACCTTCACCCCGAGTCCAGAGTAAATAATGAGACAACGGCCACGTACGAAGTATCATGTGGCCAGTGCTAAGACAATTGTAATTTAAGGAGAATGTCTGAATGCGATGATATAAGGCAATGCTCAAAGTCGTTGCACTGGGCACAGCACAGATTCGACACGGTCACTGCTGTTCTTCGCATCGTGGTTCTTCGTATTTCGACCATCCTGCAGTTCTTGATTGAGATTCGCTCCATGGATGGCAAGGCCGCCCCCTGGGCGGCGGACTTGCTGGACAACGTTGCCTGGCACATGTTACTTCATCAGACAAGCAGACTGAACTTGCCTAACGTAACGACGCATATTTCAACCAATCTCCCAGGTCTTTACGACGGAGAACCTGATTTTGCTCTCGTTGATAGCAGAATGGTCCAGCACAGTAAGCGGCTATGTCCATCGCTGGGACAACCTGGGTCGCGACAGCTCAGGGAACCCGAAGAGGAACCCGATCGGGCACTTGGCGTTCGTTTGTCGGTCCATGGGCACTCTGAAGAAGGCAGGGCATCAGTCGTGTCTATCCGCCAGTCATTTCCGGGTTACATGTGCCGCATGCCAGGACCTGGGCCGTCTGTTTGAATTTGACATCAAGACGAACAAGCCGCCTCTGGTCATGGACCAGCGATTTACCAAGGGCTTTGTGCAGATTCTGCGTGGATGTCTTACAGGCAGACGGATTCTTGTAATCAGGGCTTGTTAGCTACTGTTACTTCAAGTCATTGCACTCCCCAGGAGGCCGCATTGCAGCATGCACATCGCTTGGCGCCGGCGGAAAGGTGCTGTACCGTGGCCGAGGCCAGATCATCTTGGATGTATTCATCTTGCGGTTCAGGCCCTTGGCCTTGGAACAGTAGTCGTGGTCCCAGGACTCTCCGACGATGACTTCCAGGCGACACTCCTGAAAGAGATGGGCTCGATCAAAAACGTCTCCCGCGTGTACCTGCAAGAGCTTAAGACGGAGCACGAAGTGGGCTTGGGGCAGGGGTTCGGTGCGTTCGACATGGAGTCCTCGACTGTAACGAAGCCTGAGACCCTGGACGAGCTCGCGAAGCTCTTCGGAGCCACGGCGGGGTACTTTGCATGTTCAGTGCTCGAAGTGCTTGCAACAATAATTTCGTGCTGCAGGGCCGGGACCTGCTGAACGAACTGAACTTGGTCCGGCCAAGCTGTGTTCAGCTCCTGAAGTCACAGTCTTGGATTCTACGGCAGTTTCGTCAATTTCATCCTGAAGTTTGTTTGATTCATGAGCTGCCTCGCTGAGGGCAGGCCTCGTGAACCCCTCGGAGTACTGGGGGCAGGTCATGCTGCACTGGGCCCCGAAACTCCACGTGCTGCCGCAGTGCGTGATAAGCTGAGTCGCTTTTGACTGCTGGCAATTAATAATAAGATTCGCTCCCCAAAACAGACTCAGGTTTCCCTGTTGCTCACATTGTTCGAGTCAACAGGGGTCCTGGAGCAGAATCTCGCGGCTCTGCGAGGCTACGGCCACGAGCAGAAGCAGAGCATGACCACGATGAACCGCCGGAGCTGTCTGAAGGTGCTGTTGGATGGGGTCGCAGTGGCCCATCATTCCGTGAGGGGTGACCGCACTTACAGCTTGACAGCCTTCGGTCTGAAGGCAGGCCGTCGGTCGGCATTTGAAATTTTCATTTGCCTGCAGGTCCCGGTCCCGACCAGATCCCCCCCTGAACCAGACTGAGTTTTTCCCCTGAAGGTGATGAGAATGTACCAGAGGCTCTTCAGTGGCAAGAGCAACACCCGCAAGCCGAAACCTGGCCAGCTTCCCGACATCAGATTGCCAAAGCGAATGGCGCCCGGGAAGGTTGGAAAGACTGGCATGGCTGCATTGATGCGGATTCGACAGGAGCAAAAAGATAGCATCGAGGCCGCGGGTGATGTTGCCATGTCAGGGATGGATCCAACGAAGCTGGAAAGCTGCCTCGAGACGGTAAACCAGTCAGCAGCAGAGCGGACGACCGCAAAACAAAAGAAGCTGAGCAGCAGCCTTGCAGATCGTGTGACTGCGAAAATCCGTCTCCTCACGAATCTGGATGAGGTTTCGAGGCAGAAGCTCCGGGAACAAGTCAACAAGGAGAACGAAAGGCTGACAAAGTTGAGAAGCATCCAAGTTAGAGACCTCCGTGCAGCAGAGTGCATGACGGACTGCAGTAAAGGCTTGGTGATTGCGGTGCCCACAGTGAAGAGCATTGAGGGCATTGACCGAATGGCCAAAGAAACTGGCCGGATTCTGAAAGACCTGGGCGGTCCCAGAGTCGTCCCTCTGACCGCGACAAACCTGGTCAAGCAATGCCTGGAAGCAAGCTTTACAGTGTGGTACGGCCTCACAGATGCAGCGGAGGATGCTTTGCTTTTCTACAAATCCGAAACCTCCCCGGAGCTCAGCACGGCAATGAGCCGCCTGCTAGGTGGCCACGTAGCAGGGCCCACGTGGCTCCGAGCGTGCCAACAAGCAGGCAAAGTTGTCCGGCCTGTGACGATGCTCGGAAGGGCGCTGCAAATTGGAAGACAGCTGGGCTTCGATGCGAGCGTGCAATTCAGAGAAGGCTTGTTGAAAGTCATCAGTGCCGTGGAAAGCCACCCAGCCGGCACCAGGGAGTGGGTGGTCAGAAGTGCTCGGTCTGAGCTGAGACTTGGCCGCGTTTGGCAAAAATGTTCCAGTGTCCTCGGGCATGAGATCATCTGGGTAAGACTGCGTGCATTGCATCTAATGTTACTGTAGCTGATGGCCTGGCTGTGCGTTGATGCTGCTGCTGCTGCTGCTGCTGCTGCTGCTGCTCAAACACCTTGCGTTACATGTATTGCGACTGACTGCATCCTCGGTCTGCTTTTGCCTTCGTCTGAATACCACATTTGCCTGGCCAGTTGTTGTTGTTGTTGTTGTTGTTGTTGTTGTTGTTGTTGTTGTTGTTGTTGTTGTTGTTGTTGTTGTTGAATTATTGGTCAGTCTGTCCTATAGGAGAACTTCAGTGACAATGATACAACAGAATATGATTAATAGCTTGCCTATTGAAATTTTGCACTGCCTGCACATGGGCATTCCCAATGAATGAAGAGATCGAGAGGTCTCGCTCAACTGCCTGGTGGATTGTGGCCGAGCCTTCAGCGTCTGCTGCCAAGACAAAGAAAAAACTTTCACTCACGAAGTTGCCTGGCAAAGAGATTCGCTACTTGAGCTTCCTCCATGCCATCACTCAGCATTTCCACCTGCACTGGCATCCTTCTATTTTGCATTCCATTCGGTTTGGTTTAGGTTTGGGTTGGCAAGTCGTTCCATTTCACACCATCACCGGTCTCAGGTGGACTTGAATGAAAGCTGTGCCGTGGTTTGGAATGTCCGGTGCCGTGGAGCTGCCTAAGCCCAGATGCTTGTGCTCAGACTCATATGCACTGAATTTGAAACTGTCGTCTTTGAAACTGCCTAAGTCAGTCTAAAAAGGTAGTAGGCTTTGCAGCCCCGGTGACTGGTTCTTGGTCTTTGTGTGAGCGTGAAGATCACGGCTCACTGATGCGACGGCTGAATAGCCGCTGGCGAGTTCTCGCGGGGAAAAGGTGCAATTCAGAGTCACACAGCTCAGTGCATGTCAATGTAGTGAAGCGGGTTTCTGTCGGGCAAAACCTTTTTCGGTTTTTTGGTACGATCTGAGGCGAAGTCCTTTCGGGGTCGGATGAGGCTTCATTTACTTCCACGTGCGAGATGAGGTTTCAAGGGCCCCTGACAGGTCCATTAATCAGAGTCCCGCCCCAGGAATTTAGCAAAAGACAAGCCTGTGTAGAGCTCAGATTGCAACACTCCTTGCACGCCTACACTTTTTGCCAGGCCAGCCAGCGACAGTGACGGGCAGAACACGACCTGCGAAAAAAGATGCGTGAGTCATTCAGCTGTGTCCCATGGCGCCCAGCCAACCTAAAAACCAACAAAAAGGGCATCCTTATTAGAGCCCCTCTACTGCCGGGCCTAGAACACTATGCCCTGAGTAAGTTGCGGAGCAGTATCATGCCGTCTGTCTAGGGTCTATAGAGTTTAGCCCCTGTTTTTCTATGCAACCTGAGTCTTCACAGAACTGTCTCGTTGTTGAACTGGCGGGGGTCCTTGTTCGAGGGGTGTACGAGAGCTTGAGACGCGATTAGTGTTCCCGTGACCAGTTGGGCTACCTGAAAGCTTAAACAGAAAGTCCTGAAGCTCAGGAATTCTGTTTCATCGCTTTCCCCGACGAGGCATTCAGATTCGCAACATGGTTGCAATGGTTTCTGAAGCCCTAAACCCGTGACGGTACCGAAATTTCAGAGGGCTTGCTATGTGATTGGTAGACATGTTACGTAATGCTGGTTTGATAAAGCCCTAGCATCGATTTCGCCCACGGCGAACAGGGCTTTACGTGGATCGATAGAGGTAGTACTGGCCTGAGTCGAAGCCTGAATGGCTCCTCTACTCTTTCGGGGGTGGATGCTTTCTGATGGATGCACAAGGACTAACATTAGGAATATCTAGTTCAGGGGTCTGAATGATTGCCAGTACTGTTGCTTAGAGCCCCTTAATCAGATAGTGTTTCTAGACTATACGCGAAAGCCCTATTCTGACCAATAGGTGCTCAAGAGCAAAGACAAATCACCCTCCCGGGATCCTATGATGCCTTTTGTTCTAGGGCTCCCTATGATGGTTTCAATATATGATTCCTTAAAAAAAGGTAGGTCATTTGGGGTCTGGGTAGACCCTCTGCCCTAAAACCTATTCCTGATTCTCATTTCCGCACATAGTTTCTTATTTGGAATCCAATCCTGGTCCTTACCTGACATATTTATTCCTTACAGAGGTAGGTGAATGTAGAAACCTGATTAAGAAACCTTGGGCCTTCATTAGGGTTCCTTATATGAATCCGACTAGTTTGGTATTGCAGGCCCAGGGTTACTTGTAAGAATCCTACTAATTGTTTTGGGATTACAAGCTCAGGGTTTCTTGTTTGGGGTTCAGGCAAACCCTACGCCCTAAACCCTATTCCCTAGTATGACTGTCAAGAGCTAGGTTCTTTGGCCCTAAGCCCTACCTAGCCCCCCAAAAGTAAACAAAATAATGGCCCAAAACCAACAAAAGGCTATTATTCCACATACTTTTGGGGTCCAGGTAAACCAGATTAGTAGAGGGGTTAGTTTCTCAAGAAGGTCAAGGATCGCCTGCCCTCCCGGGCTCCTCCTACGTGCAGACGGAACAGGTGCTTAACACAAACCTACTTGGAGGATCGTGGGACTTAGTAAGTAAGGTTATAAGAATCTCTATTGGGGGTTATAAGTATAGTTACCCTAATTATCAACCTGGTTACCAAATCCCATGATCCTTTAAGTTTTTACGTATTCCCGATTATGATGTCCTTACAGAATTGCTTGAAAGGTAGGTTGTTTGGTCCAGGTAGAGCCTGCAGCAAACCCGAAGCCGTAAACTAAGGCGTGGTGTGGCCTGAAACTTCGGCTCTCACCAAGATGTTCGGTCAGGCTGCTTGGATCAGGCTTCAGGCTTTTGAACTAAGGGTCCAGGTACCCAACTAGTATATACGCTGGCCTACACCCATGTAGGGACTACGTTACGTTACGGCCAAAGTAAATACTGTTTGGGCACATGGAACCTATGGTAGTATAGGAGCCTGGCAAAAAAATAGTAGTCGCATTTCGCAGGGTTCCTTAACATGAACATACACATAATCTGGTCCCCCAACACCCTATTCTATTCATGAAGGCCGCTATGTTACGGGATTTCGGCTTCAGGCTGTGGGGCTTAGGGTTCAGTCGTGGGGTTCTGACCCTAAACCCCTAAACCGTATACCGTAAGCCCTATACCCTACCAGAACCCCCAAGTATCCTTGAATAGAGCCCTTATGGTCCTTAATTGTGGGTATTTAAGGTATAATATGGGGGGTCTAGGTAAGCCCTATACCCCAAACCCTAAACCCTACACCCCTATCTACTATAAGGGCTATTATAAGGATTTAGTATAGAGACCTCAATAATACCCTAAGCCCTCTACCCCAAACCCTAAACCCTATAGGGTTCAGTTCCGGCGTTTCTTAGGCCTCAGTTGGGAGCTCGAGGATGAGACTTCAGGGAGCCTTACTGATTAGAATAGGGGTTCCTTTGAAGGGATCCTTTTAAAGGGGTCCTAGAAGGGTTACCGTAATGGCTACTATAAGGATTTAGTATAGGGGCCTTAGTACTTAGAATAGGGTTCCTTGAAAGGGCTCTTTGACTCTTTGAGGGCTACGACAAGGGCTATTATCAGGATAGCTGCCTTAATAGTTAGAACAGGGTTTTGCAGTCTCCTCATTACAAAAAAGTTATCGTGTAATATGCCCAAATCCCCATTCTAACTACTAAGGCCCCTAAATTACTCTGATCGGCCGCCTGGGGATGGTAAGCAGACACGTTTGATACTTAACGATACCCCTTAGGCTGCCTTTGAGGGGTTCCTTTAAGGGTACCATTGAAGGTTCCGTTAATGAAAATAGAGATAACTATGAAAAGGAGTCTGACATGTTGACATTGAGGATGACCACAAAGACGACGATGATGGTGATCACACTGATGCCAGTGGTGGTGATGGCGATGGTGAATACTGTTATTTCTGCTTTTAGTTGTGTTACGATTGCTACTTTTGTTACTATTACTATGAGCTTGTCCTTTTAAGCATTTTTTCTTAAGACTTAGCAATCAACCTTGTCGCAGCCATGCCAAAACTCCGCGAATCTCACAACCAACCTGGGGATTCCTGACTAAGCCGAAAGCGCAGTGGGTAACCGCAGACCCTGAAGCTGAAGCCATACTTAAAGGGTCATGGGACTTAGTAGCTAGGGTTATAAGCACCCTAATTAGGGTTATAAGTATAGTTGCCCTAATTATAACCCTAGTTACTAAGTCCCATGATCCTGTAAGTAGACCCTATAAGTCTTGAACCGTCAACCCAGAATCCTAGCCCTGAGCCCCCAAAACCTGCCTGGACTCGACTGTCCTGTACTTATACCCCAAATACTCTCTATTCAGGACCATAATGGGGTTATGAAAGCTCTTACTTGGAGGATCATGGCACTTAGTAAGTAAGGTTATAAGTACCCTAATTGGGGTTATATGTATAGTAACCCTAATTATAACCCTAGTTACTAAGTCCCATGATCCTTTCAGTAACCCCGAAACCCTAAAACGCCCCTAAACCCTGAACTCTAAACCGTTTGACCTGAGCCCTCAACCCTAAACCCTAAACACAAAACACTGGCCTAAGCCCTAAACTCTAAACTCTAAAGAAAGCCTCACACTCTTAACTCTAAAGAAACCGTGGCCTAAACCCTAAGAGTCCCTCGGGGTTTCGCCATCCTCAGGCCTTTCCGGGAAGCCCTAATGTAGGAGCCTCATTAAGAAACCTTGGGCCTTTAGAGGGATCTATAAGGGTTACTATCAAGAGTCTAAAACAGGGTTACTGTAAGGGATCTATAAGTCTATAACGGTACTATAATAATGTAGGAACCTGATTAAGAAACCTTGGGCCTAAGGGTTCCTAGTTCCTTTAAAGGGGTCTATAAGGGTTACTATAAGGGATCTATAAGGGTACTATAATGGTGTAGGAACCTGACAAAGAAACCTTTAGGGTTCGGGTTAGGGTTCTTTATATGAATCCTATTGTTTTGGTGTTATAGGCCCAGGGTTTAGGGTTAGGGTTCTTTATATGAATCCTACTATTTGGGGGTAAAAGGCCCAGGGTTTCTTAATGAGGTTCCTCATTACACCCTAAGAGTGCCCTGGGGTTTCGCCATGTTCAGGCCTTACCGGGAGGTCAAAGCTTGTCGGCGGCCGCGATGACTTTGAAGGATAGGCCCGGTTGACGGGGGCTCCTTTAAAGGGTACTATAAGGGTTCCTTTAAAGGGTACTAGCAGGGTTTAGGGGTTCATGGATCTAGGGGTTCAGGGATTTAGGGGTTTAGGGTTTTGGGTTGAGGGGGGAGGGTTTAGGGGTTTAGGGGTTTTGGTTGCGGTTTTTGGTTGGGGGGGTCGAGGGAGGGAGGGGTTTAGGGTTCAGGGGTTCGGGTTTACAGGGCTTTTGTTTTGTCGGGCTTTAGGGTGCTGGGCTTCAGGGTTTGGAGGTGAGGGCTTTGGGTTTAGGGTTCAGAGAGCTTCTCTCGGCGTTCTGTGGGGTTCAGAGCGTTGGGCTTAGGGTTTCGGGTTTCGTGGCGGTTCCATTATCGGGTATATGGTTCGTACGGTTCCTGCAGCGACTTGCTTTAGATTCGGTTCCTGTCTCATCACAGCCGGAGCTACCTCATTGTTGCCAGAAATGTCAAAAGAGTCATCAGTTGAAACCTTGAACACTAGGATTTCGGCCGCTGTGGGATCAACTCCACGTCATCCAAACTTGTTGATGCCGGTGGGCGCCCAAACAAAGCATTGCGGCTTTAAGGCCTAAGTACCTACTCTATGGGCACTTGGAGTCTCAGGGCTTATCCACCCCATAAAGACAGCAGACCTCCAAACCCTAAACCCTAAACCCTAAAACCCTAAACCCGCCCGTCCAGGTTATGCCAGGCGCTGCAGCAGCAGCTGAACTGCGCGCCGAAGTTTGCAACTTTGCTCAGCGCGAGATCCTGATCCCCCACTTGGAGGGTCGGGGGACTTAGTGAGTAGGTAGTAAGTAGACTTATAAGTACCTTAAAAGGGACCCTAATTTGGGTTATGGTACTTATAAGTCCCTAAAATAACCAGCTACTAAGTCCCCCGACCCTCCAAGTACTTAGACTTAGACGTTCCTGGGTAGTTGTAAGTGGGGGATATAAGTGTAGGGTAACCGTAGTTACAACCCATGCTGGGGCTGCTAGGGGACTGAGAAACCCGCTTAAAACTATTCATGAATATCCAAGAAGAACTTCAACTTTCGCAGAGTTCAAGATTAGGCTAGGGTTTGTGGTTGGGGGTTCGAGGTTTGTTCCCGTTCTGTGAGGAATACGTGCATTCGGGTTTTGGTCTGGCTCTAGATGTCGGCCGCAGTTTTGACATTTCTTCACGAGAAGCATTGGTTAGCAGCATGATCGCAAAATCCAGCAATCAATCAGGTGATTGGAGAACCATGCCAAACCCTTGCTGCTTCATTGCACTCCCTCGAAGATGAGACGGTTTTCGAGCTTGAGCCGTTTCCCCAATGAAGGTCCCACCTCATCCACCTGGAACCCTGACAGCCACAGTTAGCACAAGCCCTAAGCCGCAAACACCTCGTCCTAGTCTTCAGTGTCTGTGGTAGGAGGGAGGCCAAACAAGCTGGGAACAACATTGGCCAAAAATTGTAGAAACAGTTGTCATGCTTCTTACGACGGTGACAGTAGAACTACACTCATAATCGTAATACTAATCATGACAGAAGGAAGGAGTAACTAGCGTTTAAGACAATGGTAGCAGTAGAAGTACGGCAGCAGTAATCACTTCGTCGCTGTCACCACCACCAGCACCATCATCACCATCACCGCCATTACCATCATCACCAGCATCACCATCATCATCAGCATCACCACCATCATTATCAGGATCATCATGATTACCACAGTCGTTATCATCGCCATCACCATGACCATCATCATCAATACAAGAAAGACTTTAGTAAGCTGACAATGGTTATACAAGTCGTGATACCTATTCCGCACAGTTCTCTTGTCATCCGAATGGGGGTCGTTCTGCTAAAGTTCCGACTGGTACAGGGCCTAGTTTAGGGTTATTGTAAGGGTTCTTATGAAGTAAACCCCATAAAAGGTGAAGAAACCGCGTAAACTCCATGAAGCCGATGCAAAACCACTATCCCTACACAACCATAGTTTAGCGATGAAACAAATACAGATACAAGTCTACACTCTACAGGTGAGGCCCTATAAATTGTAAGCCGTTGTCAGATGAAAACTGCTCAGTTTATCTCAGCAAGAAACCCTCTAAAGACCGATCAGCCTTGTAAAGCTCTTCTCCAAGGTACCCCTATCAAATCCCGTCAAACCCTCCGAAAATGCCCAAAGCCCTAAAGCTCAAAGCGCGTCTGAAGCCCTGAAGCCAAGACACTAAGGTGGGCAGCGAGCCGCTAGTCTTTCTTTTGCGAGCAGGTATTAAGATGGCTTTAGGGTTTAATTCGGGTATTAAGCTGGCTTTAGGGTTTAGGGTAATTATTAAAATGAGTTTCTGTAAACGGGCACGATAACGGAGGCAATGCAGTAAAGGCTCTAGGAGGGTTTCTCTGACTTTCAAGAGTGCTGTAAAGGGGTATGTCAGCCAGGGGCGTCTCGTGGCTTCTATAAGGGTTGCTTTACAAGGGTTCTATAAGGGGTCTTAGGGTACGTATCTGTAGTCCCTGTCTAGTTCTGGGTGGGGAATGGTAAGGGCAGAGGGTTCCTTTAAAGGGCTCTTTGAGGGTTGCTATAAGCGCGGGATCTAGAAGGGTTCTGCAAGGGTTAGCACCCTTTCTATATATGGACTTGTTTCAGGGTTTCCCTTTTCATTAGATGTATACATAGATATGTCGCTCCTTGTGCATTATTATTGTTTTTTCGTGGAGTTTTGTGTAGAGCCGTATAGTACATTGTTTATAGTTTTCACTCAGAGCTTCTTCGGGGTAACTTCTTATTCTTTTTTGGGGGGTCTTTGGGCCGTCTATAGGGCAAACGATTAAATGCGTAGGGCTACGGTGCAAGGGTTTCCTTCAACCCTACTTGGAAGTTCGTGGGTAAGTATACGTGGTGGTACGTGTAGGGCAACCAGAATTATGGCCCATATTCGGGGACTTCTAACCCCACTTCTAAGGACCCGAAACCCCAAGCCCTAAACCCTTAAAGGAACCCTTAAAGAAGCCCTACAGTAGAAGCCAGAAAGTTGGAATATGATTATCCTAATCCATTTATGGTAAATTATAGGGGATCCTGCCATTATTCCATATTCCAACGTTCTGGAGTTCCTTTTAAACCTCTAGAACCCCGCAGTATATCTACCCATGAGCCGTAAACCTTTGGGGCTTTGGGAGCTCCGGGCCTGGCTAGGGGAATACGGGTTCTAAGGGTTCCTTTAAAGGGGTCTAAGGGGGGCTACTAAAGGGTGTATAACATAGGGGCCTTAGTAAGTAGACTGGTGTTCCTTTAAAAGGGTTCCTGAAACGGGTCATAATTTGACTGCGGTTCCTTTAAAGGGTTTCTAAGCATGTGCTGCAATAACTAGGATGCCCAGTAGTACCCTTATTCCCTTTTTGTAGTCCTAGGTTCCTTATAAAGTTGCCCAATACCAAAAAGAGAGGCCTTGTTATTCTTAGGTTACTGGGTATCCTGGATAAGAAATGCTGAAAGGATCATGGGGGGGGGGTAACTAGGGTTCGTTAAAGGGCTCCTTACCTCAAAAAGGGATCTATAGGGGTTCTATGCTAAGAGGGGAGTGAAAGGGTCTACTTAAAGGATCATGGGACGTAGTAACTAGGGTTATAATTAGGGTAACTATACTTATAACCCCAATTAGGGTACTTATAACCTTGCTTACTAAGTCACATGGCCCTCCAAGTGGAGTTCTGTCTATAGTAACGGCATGTTATGATAGACAAGTAACCAAGACTATAAGTAGATTATTAGAGTCTTTGTCACATGCATAGCAGAATATTGACTAGACACCGGACCGCGGTTGTAGTTTGTCTTTTGGTTTCGTCTTCTTGCTGTCGTTTCAGGATTTCGGATGCGGCTGGGGGGGGGGCGGGACGGTTTGTTGCATGTCTCCAGCCTCGGCCCTCATTTCGCCCTCTGGATGTGCTTTTGGTGCGGGGCTTTGGGCTTGAAGTCCCTGAGCCCGATGAGGGTTTAGGATTTGCGACTCAGGGGTTTAGGGATTAGGGTTTAGGGGTTTGCGGTTTAGGGATAGACCCTGAAACCCTGAACCACCTCAAAACTCGGCTCAGCGCAGATTCGGGGGACAGGAGCAGGCTGGCAACAGAACTGTGTTGAACAGTTTAGGGCTTCGGGTTAAACAATAATGCACCAAGTCTATGGACCAAGTCGTAACACCTGCGTCCCGAAGACATCAGGCTCTAAAAGCCTAGAGTCCTAACACTCTCAACCGCCGACCGCCGGGCCATATAGCCCGTCATCATCACATGGGAGTTTCCGAAAACGAGGGGTACCTTGTTTTGGGGTCCTGATAAGAAGGATCCTACGATTTAGCGTACTATATTCGGGCCCTTTTTTTTTTGGTGAAATCCCGTAAATAATTAGCATTGTAATATGATCCTTCATAGGCTTCCTCAGTGGTTAGTGTTCCCCTAAGGGTCCAAAGCACCCGATAATTAGGTACTCGGTTTTAGGGTAGTAGTTCTGTAGGTTAGGTTTTTGGAGAGTATATGATTATTGGGTACTTGGACCCTTGGGGTTCCTTATTATACTTCTAGTTGAATGTACCTCTCCGAAGTATAAGGCCCCTATAAGGGTGGTTATCAAACTTCGGGCCGGTCCCTTTTTGGGGACCCGAAATATTAGGTGCCGTATTCTAATAGGGACCCAAGGTTTAGGGTTTAGGGTTTGGGTTTAGGGTTTAGGGAAAAGGGACCCTAATTTTGACAACCACCCCTATAGTACACCACTCATCTTTGACTGCCTCAGCCACCCTGTGAAGCCGAGGCCCAGCAAGAAACGATCCAAGCGAAAGGCCCTCTGGGGCTTACTTGGAGGTTCACGGGTAGTTATATGGGGGGTTATAAGTCCCCTAATATGAGTCATAATTATGGTTATGGGTAGTTATAAGCAGGGTGATAAGTCCTCGAACATGGGTTAAGATTGTGGCTACCAGACATAGAACCCACAAAAAAATACAGATGAACCTCCAAGCAGGGTTCGTCTTAGGTCAGGTGCTGAGCCCTAAACCCTAAACCCTAAACCCCTAAACTCTAAACCCCTAAACCGTTAACCTTCTGCTCATATGATCCTACCATCCCTACAAGGTTAACCCCTTTTTGTGGGCCCGGGAACTGCTGAGTAGATATCCTTTACTTGATAAGGCCCTTAAGTTTGCACCAAAAGCTCCAAAAAGCTCTTGAACCTGAACTTAGGGGTACTTAGAAACATTTTTGATTTTTGGTTTTTATAATCTAAGAAACAGCTAAAATTATATTTTTTGCTGTGGTTCTAGCCCCAAGACCGCAGCACCAAGCCCAAGTACCCATTCCGAAACCGTTTGCATGTGGGTAGTTCTCTAAACTAGTGTCCTCTTCGAGGGCCCTTGCACAAGAGTGCCGCACTATTTGAGGGAACCTTTTACGGGATCCTAATTTAGAGAACTGCGAATATCTAGTTGATGTGTGAAGAACTCTGAGTACAAGATGGACTTCTGGGCTTGTCTGGATGCTTTTTTGGCGTATTAGTTTTCAGCATTCGTCTAAACCCAAAGAGTTTTTCTATTCTCCAGCTGTTGAACCAAGGCCTAAAATTGGAGTCTAAACCCTAAACTATAAACCAGAACCCTAAGCCACATAAGCCTTGTATGGGTAGTTGCCAAAACTCGGATCCCTGTTTGGGTACCCAAAATCTTAGGTGCCGTATTATAATAAGGACCCAAAAACAGACCTTAATTTTGACAGCCACGCATATGGGGTTTCCGAAAATTGGAGACCTTAATATAGTACCCTAAACTTATTGTAAGGACCCCCAAATAAGGTACCCCTAATTTTCGGAAACTCCAAACCCTAAACCCTTTATAGAACCCCTATATAGATCCTTTTAAGGAACCCCTTAAAGTAAAAGCCAGAAAGTTGGAATATGATTATCCTACGCCCTTTATGGTAAATTATGAGGTATCCTACCCTGAAACCATATTCCAACTTTCTGGAGTTCCCTTTAAAGGTACTCTAAACTCGTCAGGCAGAAATGTTCTTCGAGATCGAACCTGAAAGTTGGGACCGAGGAAAGGGCTGCTACACTTTCGGGCTTTGGGGTTTTGGGGTTTGGGGTTTAGGGGTTTAGGGGTTTAGGCTTTGGGGTTTGGGGGGTTAGGGGTTTAGGGGGTTAGGGTTTAGGGGTTTGGGGTTTAGGTTTTGGGGTTTGGGGTTTAGGGTTTGGGGTTCAGGATTTGGTGTTTAGGGCTTGGGGCTTAGGGTTTGGGGTTTAGGGCATGCCTGAACCCCAGGTGGCCCACAATTTTCTCGGGCTGGTTATTTTTATTTGGATATTCTTACGCAAGTCCTTAAGAAGGTAGATTCTTGAGGGTCCCGGCAGGGTTTAAGGTTGCATGCAGGAGATGCCCTGGTTCTTGGCTCACCTGCCGGAAACAGCGTTCATCGTTTCGGCAAGCTCCACATAAAGCCGCTCAAGCCCTGCATGCATGAGAACTAGTAGCCCTCAGCCCATCCTGGAATCCGAAAGCTGTTGAGCTGTAGGGTCCAGGAGGTTTGAGTATATATGCACTTGAGAACTATGGGTAGCACTACCTCTGAGCTGCTGATACCATGGCACAGTGACTCCTCTCACCTACCTCATGCCCTTGAGTGAAAGCCCATGCTCAATGCACCGTATTCACGACTTCCGACGCCAGACACCTGTAAAATCTACCATCTTGGACCCCCAGAAGCCCCAAACCGTAATTGTACCTAAACCCTAAATGCTTAACCTAAACCTTAAACCCCTAAACCCTAAACCCTTCCTCTAAGGCTGGATCGGGCTTCCGGCTGCAGGACAGAAAAGAGACTCACAGCGAAGAAAGCAACACCCAAAGCAGGGTTCCCTAAAGGGCTCCTTTAAAGGGATCTATAGGGTTTCTATTGTCAGAGGTTTTCTTAGGGTCTACTTGAAGGATCATGGGACCTAGTAACTAGGGTTATAATTAGGGTAACTAGACTTATAACCCCGATTAAGGTACTTGTAACCTTACTTACTGAGTCCCATGATCCTCCAAGTACAGTGGGCACCAGAAAGTTGGAACATCAAGATTCCCGTGCCCTTGAAGTAAAGTATAGGGAACCCCAGCAAGAATCATCCTAAATCAATGTTCCAACTTTCTGGTGGTTCTCTACAAATCCTAAAACCCCAAAACCCTGAGCCAAAAGAGCCTAAACCTTAAAAGCCTCTAAACCTGATCCGAAACACCCTCAACCCTTAACCCTTTCTAAACCCTAAGACCCCCTACTTAAAGGATCGTGGGACTTAGTAACTAGGGATATGGTCAAGGTTACTATACTTATAACCCCAACTAAGGTACTTATAACGTATAACCTTACTAGATCACATGGCCCTCCCTACACCCTAAACCCCTAAAACCCTAAACCCCCAAGTACAGGCAATGGCGACGGGCTGCAATCGAACCTCCTTTCCAAGTCCAAGGCCCCTTCTTGCCGAGGGGACGATGCCTCGGAGGGGCCAATACCCCTAAGTTAGGGTTTAGAGCTTGGGGGACGAACCGTTGAGAAAAAGAAGAAGAACAACAGTAGTAGTGTAGCAGTAGTTATAGCAATAAGATAACAGTATGATAACAATAGCAGTAGTAACAACAATAACCATGATAGCAAGAGCAAGAGCAATCATCATCGTCATCATCATCATCATCACCTTCCTCAGCATCGCCGCCACCACCATCATGTTCATCATAAGAAGAAGAAGAACGGAACTGTGAGGAACAACTAAGGTTTTGGAAGGGGGGGTTGAAAGGCGAAACAATGTCTTGATTGAGGATTTTCGGTTCAACCCAAGTCATGGGCCCTATATGGTCTATTGTATCTTCCGTACTTAGTCCTAAATAGCCCTTATCTGTGAGACTACCGTGTGTTCTTATGTTAGGTCTTGCAGGTTTTTGCAGGATTCCTGAATTTCATTCATCTTTTGTCGCTTGATGCAGGTTTTTGGTGGGTTGTCTCGATGTCTCTCTCTCATTCTTCATCTGTCTCTCTTTGAGTCTCTCTCGCTCTCCCTCTCTCTCTCTCTCTCTCTGTCTCTAACTCTCGCCCACTCTCTCCCGAGAACTGTAAACCCCGAATGGCAGAAACCCTAAACCTCCAATGACTCCAGTTCTCCGCCCCAACCCGTAAACCCGACGCCTTACCCCGAACCCTTAAACCGTCCCTCTCTGTAGGCCATCGGGATGCAGAAGGTCCGGAGTCTGGGCTTTGGAGTACCATACTGTCATACTTTGTTTTAAAGGAACCAGTATGAAATATTTTCTTAAAAGAACCATACTTCAATACCTTTTGCTTAAAGGAGCCATTATGAAATAGAAGTTTATGCCTTTTTCTCCCTGGTTACTTACAAGCCCAGGAGTGCCATGGCGTCGCTAGCGCAGAAGACCGATGCGATACAGCAGGCTATTGGTTTCAAGGGTTTACTTAAAGTACCATGGGACTTAGTAACTAAGGTTTTAATTAGGGTAGCTATACTTAAACCCCGGTTAAGGTACTTATAACCTTAATTACTTGCTAAGTCCCATGATCCCCCAAGTAGGGTTTGGAGGTGACGAGTCCCTCAATCCAAACCCTAACTGAAACCCCAAACTGAAAAGGGTTTAGGGGTTTAGGGTCTAGGATTTATCCAGGTTTCCCGGACACCCGAAAGGATCGAACAAGTAGCTGTCTTCATTTGGACCCCATACTACATGGAGGACCATGGGACTTAGGAAGTAAGGTTATAAGTACCTTAATTGGGGTTATAAGTACAGCTGCCTTGCTTTGTTTATAACCCTAGTTACTAAGTCTCATGATCCTTTAAGTAGGGTACTTTAGTAGGAGCCCCCTATTGACGGATCTAGTCTTTGGATCCTCCCAGGATTTAAAGCTTGTGGTTGCAGATTTTGAGTTTAGGTTGTAGGGCCCATAACCCTAAATCCTAAACCCCAAAGCCCAGGACCATAGAATGCAAGGCTTGAGGCTTCGAGTCTGTGGTTTGGGGTATGAAGCTGTGGGAGTATTTGGGGGGGATTCCGAAGAATAGTGGTATCTTGCTTCGGGGTCCTGATTTTAAGGATCCTGCTATTTAGGGTATAATAACAAGGGCCCCTGTTTTCGGAAACTCCCATTCGGGTCCGAGTATCTAGTTTGTTACTCTCCTCTTATTATCCCTGTACAGCTATACCATCATGTACCTTCAGAATATTTGTAGCCACTCTCCGAAACCCTCAACCCTCAACGCCAAATCCCTCAACCCTAAACCAGGAATCCGAAACCTCAAGTGCACTTTGGCCCGACCCAAAGCCGAGCAAGGTCATTGAGGGTTTAGAGGAGCTACTAATTATAAATGATACTAAAAGAGTTAGTTTAAGGGTTGCTATAGTGTATGAGAGCTGGCATACGAGATGCTATGAGTGTTAGGGCTTAGGGCATTTAGAGGGCCGGTAATACAGTGGCGTGTAAGCTTTAGATTTTCAGTGACTTAGTAGCAGAGTAGGTAACCCTTTACTTATTTCAAATCCCTATACATGAACCAAAAGGTTAAAATTTACTTCCCTAGAGTACTGTAGGGGGAGGATCTTAAGGGGCCCCGGTGTTTTGGCGTTTCAGGGTTGGAGCTAAAGGATTCTGCGGAGGAGTGAGTTTGCAGACACATGCTTCAGGTACACATACCGATCGGCACCTTGTATGATCAAAGCGCACCCTCCGCGGCACGGCCATATGTTGGTCTTTTCCGATTGTTGGTTTCGTGGCTCCCGCAAGTCTGCCATGGAAGGAAGCGGCGACAACGTTGTCATATGCAATCAGACTTGAACTTTCCCAAAGACTATTGGCCTTATGCGGCCAGCTTTAGTTGTGCCTGTTTATTCGAGTAGCTGTCATTGACAACATGACATGCTGGAGCATGACACCTGACACATTCCGCAAATCGTGCCTGACACCAGCGTGACCTTCAGAATAGTTGTAGGCCCAAACCCGAAGCGGCAACTCTTCAATCCTCGCTCGATGCCAAGCCCCTAAACCCTATAGATTGAATCCGGAACCTGAACCTGAAGCCCTTAAACCCCGAACCCGGAATCCGAAACCTGAAGCGCACTTTGGCCACACCCACGGCCGCCTACGAATAAGGCCATTTTGTGCGTTACTACCAGGGTTACTCATTAGAGGAGCTACCAAAAGGAAGATTCGAAGAGTTATTATAAGGGTTATTATACGTAATACAGTAAGAAATGTCGGGATACTAAATGGGTTGTACGTAGGACCTTCATGGTCTATTTGACGTAAGGCTTTGCTCTGTGTATCACTATATAATGTATATCTTAAGAATTAAAATTTCAATGAATTCAGAAAAAGTTAAAAGAGGTAAATTCTTTATTTTTTTTAAATCGTCAGGGTTTAAACGTTTAAAGAATTTAGAGTTTTAAATGAGGTAAAATCTTTAAAGTGCGAAATCGTCCGGAATTAGACGTTTAAAGAACTTGAAAAATTAAAGAATGAAGTCTTTTTAGCTGGACCATAGCCCAGGTCCCAGCCTCAGGCTCCAGCCCACGGAAATGATTTTTTTAAATTCTTTAAACCCTTTAATTAAAAAATCTTAAAACCGGACGATTTCCAAATTTAAAAATTTCTACAGAACTTAAAACTTAAAAACGGTATGTAGTTTGTTTAAATTGCTTAAATCTTTAAATCGTCCGGCATTAAAAATTTGAAGAATCTTCAAAGCAATAAATGTCTTCAGCTGGACCCTAGCCAAGCTCCTCTCCGCCCCATACAACTGCTGTTTCAAGATTTTTAAGGTCCGAACGCTAGCAACTTCGTAGCTGCCTAGGGACTACCCATATAGATTGTTAAAGTTTTGGGGTATTCAGCAGCTTTGTGTGATAATCGTTGGAAGACAGTGTAAACTCCACACAACTGCTGTTTGAATTTGGTTTTATAAGGCCGAGCGCTCGAAACACTCAATAGCCACTTCGTAGCGGCCTATGGCCTATGGATTGCCCATATAGATTGTTAGAGTTTTAGAGTATTCAGCAGTTTTATTTGAAAATCTTTGGAACACATTGCAAACTCCATACAACTGATGTTTCAATTGTTTTCAAGTCCGAACGCTCGAAACACTGAATAGCAACTTCGTAGCTGCCTATGGACTACCCAATATTCGAGTCGATTAAGTCCTTTTTATTTTTTGAAATTCTTTAAACTTGGTATTCCGTACATATACATTATATTTGATACACAGAGCAAGCTCTACACCAAAAGGGAGTAGTAGTAGTCGTCGTGGTGGTGGTGGTGGTGGTGGTAGTTGTTGTTGTTGTAATACATGGTAGTAGTAGTAGTAGTAGTAGTAGTAGTAGTAGTAGTAGTAGTAGTAGTAGTAGTAATAATTAATAATAATAATGGTCGCCCCCTACCAACCACCCGTCTGACCATACTCTTGTAACACACATCCGTTTACTCGGTTTTTACAGCACTTTCGTCATGTAGGAACATCTTATGACGCTGCAAAATGAAGCTGCGTTTTTGCAAACTCCAGCTTCCGATTCTGGACTTCCTCTTGGGGGGGTGGGGGGTGGGGGGGGGGATGATGACGACAGTGTTACGCAGACGCCCCGAACAACCTCTCCAGAAGAGCCGTTTTGCGCGGTATTTATAGTACTTTCGTGATGTCGGACCATCTTATATAGTCACCAATCGTACCTCTGGACTTTGCAAACTGACATTGGGCTTTGCGAGGGCTTTCGGCGAAAACTCGAAGTTGGTTGGGGGAAGCTGCTTTTCAATTCGGTATTTGAAGTACTTGGTGGTCATGTCGTAGTCTATGGCTAACCACAGTTTTTTAGCACCGTTGTTGCTTCCGGGGGGGGTGGGGGGGATGGGCATGATGACTTACTTACAGGCAGCCCCTGGAACAACACGCACCACTTCAGCACCAAAGCCTGCTGCGCCGAGGTCCTGGGCTTTAAAGGTGTTGGCGAGCCCCTCTCACACACAGCTGGCATCTTTTTGATGTTTAGAAGATTTTGCACTTCAGCTTTAGCAACAAGGAGTGTTTAAACTTTCTTGGCAGTACCTGCGTTTGGCTGTTCGGCCTCTGTCTCGTGAGGATCGTGAAGCTTCTGCCATAATGTTCTTACTGAAACTTCTTCCAATTGATAAGTCGGTTGCTGCGGAAACATGCCTCTTCGGCCTCACACTTGTGAAGCTCCGCCATACTGAGACTGCTTCCAATTGATGGGTCGGTTGGTCCGGAAAACATGGCTGTGCGGCCTGTCTCGTGAGGATCGTGAAGCTGCTGCCAGAATGCTCTTACTGAAACTTCTTCCAGTTGATTAGTTGGTTGCTGCATCTTCGGCCTCACACTCGTGAAGCTCGTGAAGCTCCTGCCAGAACAGGCTTTCATAGGCCTTAAAACCTTCAAAAGCCCTTAATAGCTCTTTACAAGACCCTCCCCTAAAAGAGTCCTTTGATAACCCATCTGGAAGAAGTTTCAGTGAGAGCATTTTGGCAGGAGAGCTCAAGCGAGCTGTGGTGAAGATGTGAGCGCGGCCTCATCACTCATCCTTGAGGCTTTTTGAAAAAGGACGTTGAAGCGTTGCTTTTGCGTATGTTTCAAATCTTCAACCCTAAACCGCCTAATCCTTAAACCCCAAACCCTTAAGCCCACCACGACTGCCAAATAGACCCTAAAGGTCCATGCCACGTAAGGGTTTAGGGTTTAGGGCATTTAAGGATGTAGTAGCGCAGTATTTGCTAGGGGCGTAGTAGTTGTTAGGTAGTTTTATCCCTATATAAACAGAGAGGTTAGGCCCCCCTTGTTTCCGGGTTTAGGGTTGGAGCAAAAGGATTGAAGGGAGAGTTAATTAGACGAGTGAGTTTGCAGAGAGTTTGCACAGGTACTTCGAGACAAACTGAATTCGAAGGCGATGCCGAGCGTCCAAAGCCGATTGTTGGCCGCAGGTTCCCGCAAGTCTGCCATGGAAGGAAGTGACGACAATGTTGTCATCCACCATCAGACTTGTGCTTTCTCAAACACTGTTGCCGAAAGCATGCCTTGTGCGACAAGCTGTAGGTGTGCATTTTGATAAAATACGCGTCGCTGGTAACATGACATTCTGGAGACATGACACTTGGCACATTTGCATTTCACAAGTTGGTAGTTGTGTGTTGCAAGTTCATCGAATCGAGCACCTGGTAATAGTTCAGAACAACCTTGGCGCGTGAAGCTCACACGCTTGAAGCTTGCTCGTTTCGTTGCCGCACATGTGTCTTCACCACTTCCCACGTCGTTTCGCAGCGACAGCTTGTGCAACCCAGCCCTGCGTCAATCTGAATGGTTTCACTCTACAGATTCACATGCCATTGGGCGCTCTGTCTTCGAATCCACAAGTTCCCCTAACGTTGATGTTTTCAAGACCTGCAGTGTCATGCGTGACGCCCGAAAAGTGAGTTCATTCCCGCCAATGAAATCGCAGCAACACGGCATGCTGCAGGCAGTCTTGCAGTCAGGCGCCAACGGACCCACATTCAAAACTGTACATCCCCGGCCCCCGGTTGCCCGAAACTCCTCCAGCTCTCGGTTGTGCGAATCTCGCAGCCACCATCAACACTGGTAGATTTAGAGTTAGGGTTTGCGCTTCTGGCTTTGCAGCGTAAATGCAACAAGAGAAGGTTCCGTGTAATAATGCAGACCGTAGAACCCGGATTTTGCAATCCCCAAACCTTGAAAATCGCAAGCCCTAAACGAAAGCTTACTTAATTAAATTCGTCGAAAAACATCAACCTTAAGACTTTGATCTGGTTAGACTAGAGGGCAACCCCGATAGCCCGAGCGCTGGCAGTTGCTTCTATAGGGGAGATCAAGGGTTCTAGTAAGTAATAACGTAGTTGTACATGTTCGCTTTGCCCACTTGAAGGATCACTCGGCCTAGTCAACAGTGTTCACAGCTTCGTCTGGTAGTTATACGTAATTATCTACGTTCATAAATGTTAAGCCACTTCAAACGGGATCGTCATCGTATATTATCCAGACCGTTGAACATGAACTAAGTTGCAGAAGGTTGCATCTGAAAGTCAGGTTAGGCCAGACTTGAAAGGCTGCCAACCGTAAGCACGCATCGCCTTTCAATCCGCCCTTCAGCCACAAAACCCATAAACTTTCATAAACTCAAACCGCCTCAGGTGTTAAACTCGAAATCCAGAATTTGCTAGCGCCAAATCCCCTGATTGTGGGGTATTCTATGGTGTACTAGCTTTCGTCTAATTGTTGTTATTATTCTGTTGTTGCAACTTTTGTTTTCGCTGTTACTCATTTATGACATTTTCTGACCAAAATGATGATGAATGAAGACGACGTGTGTGATTACACAGAAGCATTCTAAACTAGTATGGTAGCTGTTCTCAGATACCGCATAGCACCTGTTGGGAAAGCCATCCTCCTAGGGAAGCCAACCAAGATTTGTTTTCAGAATCAACCGCGAAAGCTGATTCTAATCATGGAGGCGCGTGCATGAAAGCAAGTCGTATCTGAACCCTGGAAGCAACCCTTGGAGAGGCGCTGAACAAGCGTCAGCCACCAGAGGTCTGGGCGAGAGAGGGGTTGGATCCGTGTTTTTGTTCAGTCATAGGTTAAGGTTCAGAGTACAGGGTGCAGAGGTCGGGTGTGCATGTTGTTCTTGTTCGGAAAGGTGTTCGGGCGTGCCCTTGAACCGTTGCGGAGTACTGTAGCACTGTAATCCCTATATACCGCCCCGGGAAACCTATAGTCCCCCTTGGATACCGGATAAGCAAGACTAGCAGTGCTTCTACACCCTCCTGGGTCCTTGACAGGACACTGCCATGCTTGAAGGATCAGGGGACGTAGTAAGTAGCCTCAGTAGGTAAGGTACCAAGAGGGTCCATACATACTACTATTTTGGAATCAGGTCGCCCAAAACCATGATTTGAATGTTCTTTGGGCCGTCTAATTCCATAATATCAGTATCTTTGGACTGTTTCGGGTAACATAGGTAACATAAGTAACAAGGGCAAACCCCGACCAAGCATCATCAGGGCATCATGCCAACATGTGCTGTCCTATACCAGCTGCTCGGCCCAGCCCATTCGTACGCCTACTTCAGGAATTTATGGTTTAGAGTTTAGGCCGTAAGGGTCCAGGTTTAGGGTTTTACCCTACTTACAGGCAGCCTGTGCTCTGATCCTTACAGCTTAGTCTCTTGGTAGGTGCGGGTTGATGTCGAAGCCTCGATTATTGCAGGCTTCCCTGCTTCCAGGTCAACAACATAGGGTTCCGAAGACCTCGTAATAATATCTCCTTATGCTTTCCATAACATCCACAGGATCTCCTATGTCACCTTAGACTTCTACTCCTGCAGGATTATCCCTTGTAGTTCTTACAGGTTTGCATTATACTGCAAGACCCCTTTGCTAGGCATTAGCTCGAGACCTTACACCTTGAACTCGCAGTTTCTAAACCCAGAAGCGTAAACCGTAAGGGGATTTGAAGTGCTTGTGTGTTTTTTAGGGTTTCGGGCTTTTTGGTGTTTAGAGCTTGTTTTAGTGTTTGGGGGCTTCGAATGTTTAGGGGCGTTTAATGGTTAGGATTGAGGGGTATTTGGAGGATCATGGGACTTAGTAAGTAAGGTTATAAGTACCCTAAATGGGGTTATAAGTATAGTTACCCTAATTATAACCCTAGTTACTAAGTCCCATGATCCTTTAAGTATTATCAACACTGATACCTACAACAAGTAATGGGGCCATGTTGCCCCCGCCGGCAGGAGCACGTGAAGGCAGCTCAGCAGCAGTGCCTTAAGGGCTAGGCACGAAACCCTATCCCTAACATGTGAAGCCCAGTTGGAACTCGTCCGCAGCCCAATCGAAGCTCGTCCTTGTTCCTTTATTACTCGGTATTGGGCTCCCTGTACTCCAAGCACTAGACCCCAAATCGCGAACCCTGAACCTGGAACTGTAAAAAGTAAACCCAGAGTAAAGAAGCAAGCTCACTCTGCAGCCCAAGTCTGCAAATTTGGGAGTATCAGAACAAAGATGTGGGACCTTGATAAAACACTCCAACACACGGGGTAATTCTCGTTTTTGGTGCGTAGCTTGGACTTCGGGTTTAGGTTGGTTTAGGGCTTTGAACTTAGAGTTTCACGCTTGCGTTTCTTGACGTTCGGGTCGCTGGTATTTGAGTTTGGCTTTGGAGTTTAAGGTTGTGTGCTTCGGGTTTAGAGTTGCACTTAGGTGTGGGGTTGACGTGTCAAAAGTCATAGCCACAGCCAAGCTTGTTTCGCAACTACTTGGAGATTCATGGGTAGTTAGAAGTGTGTTTGTAAGTAAGGTAACCATGATTATGACAACCCATTTTGGGGGACTTCTAACAACCCTAAAACCCTAAACCCTATAGAACCCTTCAAGGAACCCTAAACCCCTACAGCCCCACTTATAACTACCCATGAACCTGAAAGTACTGCCGCTAAAGCAGCTTGTTTGGAGTCCTAAGCTCTCAAGCAATGCGTCTTTAGGGTTTGCATTTAGGGTCCAGGGTTAGGGGTTTTAGGGCTTTAGGACCCTAAACCAGCCCTAAACCCTGACCCCTAAACCCCAAACCCGAAACCCCCTGGGCCTGCTGTGGTTGTTAACCCTTTCGCCGGCGTGCTGGGACCCCAGGGGCGGCACTAAGGCCTAGGATTGTTTCCAGGCCGAAGAGCACCCAGCAAGCAGGCGTGGGGGTCACAGTAGGGCGACAGTGCCGGCATTTTGGGTCTCTTTGCGGCTGGAGGCTGACGTGTTTCTTGCGGGAGGGTTCCCGGTTCGAACCTGGTGATCGCGCTTCTACACTTGACATGATCTGATGGAACAGCTACCAGTGGATCCTTTTTCACGCGGGGAGTGAGCGGTTACGCAAGTGTCGATGGTACAGCAGTTCGGCTTGATCGCGGTTCTCGCCTGGAGTGCTCTATGAGCTGATGGAAGCTCTGTCGGCATGGATCCCGGTTCTCGCCTGGTGTGCGCGGTTACGCAATCGGCAATGAGCTGATAGCCCTGGCGGGATGGATCCGGTTCGCGCCTGGAGTGCGCGGTTACGCAAGTGACAATGAGCTGATGGAAGCTCTGTCGGGATGGATCCCGGTTCGCGCCTGGTGTGCTCGGTTACGCAATCGGCAATGAGCTGATAGCCCTGGCAGGATGGATCCGGTTCGCACCTGGAGTGCGCGGTTATGCAAGTGACAATGAGCTGAGGGAAGCTCTGTCGGGATGGATCCCGGTTCACGCCTGGTGTGCGCGGTTACGCAATCGGCAATGAGCTGATAGCCCTGGCGGGATGGATCCGGTTCGCGCCTGGAGTGCGCGGTTACGCAAGTGACAATGAGCTGATGGAAGCTGTGTCGGGATGGATCCCGGTTCGTGCCTGGAGTGCACGGTTACGCGAGCTGCAATGAGCTGATGGAGACTCGAGTCGGGATGGATCCGGTGTGCGCCTGGGGTGCGCGGTTGGCCACCCGGTTCGCCTGCCCTAAGACCCTTTGTTTTTTCAGGGTTTTCTTTGTGGTTTGATCCTTAAGCCTTCGGGCCGGAGGTGATGCCACTGCTAACTAACAGGCCAGGCCTTCGGGTCTCGGTCGTCCCTCCACTCCACTCCACTCCAAACCCGAAACATACAAACCCTAAGCCCTAAGCCCTAAACTCGTAAATCCTATACTTCAAGCCCGAAACTTGTATACCCTAAGCCTTAAAACCTACGCCCTGAATCCTGAACTCAAGCCCGCTTCCAGATCCACATCGACCCAGACAACTTCATCCTTTCCGATGACATGACTGGCATGTTGAAGATTACGGAAGGTGCGCCCAGCGAGAGCGTTTAGGGCTTAGGGAAAGTCTTCAAACCCAAAGGTCCCTGATTACGGAAAATGCGCCCAGGGAGAGCGTTCAGGGTTTAGGGAAAGTCTTAGAAACCAAAAGGTCCCTGATTGCGGAAGGTGCACCCAGCCAGAGTGTTTATAGGGTTTAGGGAAAGTCTTAGAAACCCAAAGCTCCCTTAGCTGGGAGCCATAAGCTCTGTACGGCCCAAATGTTCGACGCTGGCTCTGCAAATAAGTACAATTGTTCCATTTACCTGTATGGTAGTTTGTTGGTTATGGGTACTATAAGGTTTACATAAGGTTTTTGGGACAGTAGCCCTCGAAATAGGTCACTGGGCTCCTACGGGTTGTTGATGCTAATGGCCATGATGGTAATTATGATGATAATACTAATCATGGTGCTGATGATGATGATGGTGATGATGGCGAGCATCACTCCGAGCTTGCCTTATGCCACACACGGTTTCATGTGGCTCCGCCCCATAGAGACGAAACACTCATTAGGCACTCCGGCCGCCCATGCAACAAGTACCCCATTCCCGGAGACCCGCCTACAGACAACTTGAGCAAGCTTCCTGTGTGAGTGTGTCCACTATGCTCGGAATCCCACGATCGTATCCCGTATGCGCGTCCACAGGTTAGCCTTCGAGTCCCCATGTAATGTGGCAATAGGATATGGTGCGCCCCATGATGCTGTTCGAAGTATCAACGTCCCTACAATAAGACTCAGAGTCGTTTCCTACCGGCGAAGATTCCAAGTTTTGGGAACATGTATATATGCAAGTGAGGTGAGGGCTCAGGGTGCTCAAAAAGGAATCCGCGATGCGGTTGCGAGTTTGGGGTTCGGGATCTGAGGTGCATGATTCGCGGTTTTGGTGAGGTTCAGGCTTTGGGTGTCTCGATGTTTGTCTCCACCTTGGAACCTGCTTTGACCTGCATCTGCTAAGCCTTACCTTTGACCTTGACCTAGTAGTAGAGTAGGTAACCTTTACCCTTGTTTGGGTAGTATAGCCCTTATATAATCCCTATATAACCAAAAGGTTAACCTTTTGTCCCCCAATGATACCCGACAAGTAGGTTGAATACCACCTAAGCCTCGGCTCTTTCGGATGCGCCTTGATCCTTCATGGAAGTCTCAGCAAGCTGCAAGGTTGTGCAAGCCTAAACCCAGCCCGCAAGAATCATGGGTAGCCTAGCAGTATCCATCTGTGGGGGCCATTCTGGAGAGGCCATAGTGGTCCCGTGAAAGAAAGCCACAAACAGATTCTGCAAGCACAGGACATTCCGAATGCTGCTAGGAGCCCAGTTACATTTTTTTGAGGGGGTTACTGTCCATGAAACCGTTCATAAACCGTGCAGCGCCCTTAACCCAGTAACCTACCATATTCATATGTCTTGCATTCACCCTAAGACCTAGGACCTGAACCCTGAACCCAACCCTAAACCCTACTTGGAGGATCATGGGACTTAGAAGTAAGGTTATAAGTACCTTACCTGGGGTTATAAGTATAGTTACCCTAATTATAACCCTAGTTACTAAGTCCCATGATCCTTTAAGTACAGCCTCTCTCGCCAGGGCATGGAAACCAGCTCATGTTCAAGTGCCCCTTGGGCCATTCCGTCCGAGCGACTTTCCTGGAAAAGCAACAGCCTCATAGGTTCTTGGATTTCGAGTTTAGGGCTTGGGGTTTTAGGGTTTTGGGGTGTAGGGGTTTAGGGTTTAGGAGTTGAGGGTTTTGCATTTAGGGTCTTGGGTTCAAAGGCTCAGAATTCAGGTTTTAGGGTTTATAGGACCTAGCGAGTGTTTTCGCTTCCCTCAGAGACCTTGGTGTTGGGGCGTTGCGTCCGTCGTCGCTTCGTGTTACACACGAATTGCGGATCTTAAGTTCCGGCAAGCTCTCGACCCCTAAACCGAAAAAGCCTTTTGGCGATGTTGGTCCAGCTTTGGCCTCTTATAATATATACATGTATATATATATATATATAGAGAGAGATCAGCATATATATATATATATACATATATATATATATATACATGATTATATAGATACACATATATATATATAGACATATATATATATATATATATACAGATGTACTTCTATGTATCACCACAAGTCTTTGGCCATGGTCCTGCCTCGACACCAGCAGCTTCGGATTAACGGCTTGTGCCCGAAATCTAACACACACATACACCAAAGTAACTACAAGTACTTGTTTTTAAGGCTTTAGAAAAATAAACTAAACCCGGCACCCACTGGAGAAAGGGATAAGAGCTGGCCAGCCAGCTGGCTGCATCATATATGGTCCCTCCTCGGAAAGGGTTTTGGCACATCGTGCGTCGTTAGGGTTGGAGCAGCGGTTTTGGTGAAGCCCACCCTGAGCCAAGACAACCATTCGTGCTGAAACCTCATCCTTAATCCTTCGCGATACACATGCCAAGCCCGCAAGCAGTAAACCCCATGTGCTGAAGCACCCTAAACCCAATACCCAATACCTTCAACCCTAAATATCTTAAGCAGCCCTGTAGAAGTCCTAAACCTGCAGACGGAATCTCATCTGCCAGGGAGGCCAGGCGCCGCTGGCTGGCAGCTCACTCGTGCAGCCCGTCGAACGACAGCGCTAAGAGCCAAGTTACCTACTTATTGGCTGTAAACTAAACTTTTCAACGTTTGGTGCTCTTATAAGGTAGTCGACTCTGAAAGTTTCAACGTTCATTTCCTTGGGTTTTGGGCCAGTGGGCCTAATTGTGCGTATGAAGTTACTGGGTTATGGGTACCATAAGTTTTGTCATAGGGTTCAAGGGGCCGTAGCCCGCTATTTGTAAGTCGGCTCCGAGGGTAGGATGGAGGGCTTTAAGTGTTTAAGGGCCTAGAATTCGGGGTTGAAGGGTTTCGGGCCCAAGGTGTAGGGTTGAGGGTTTTAGGGTTTTATGGTTTAGGGCTTACCTAGACCCCAACTACCCTCTAATATGCCCTAAATACCCACGATTAAGGACCATGAGGGCTTCACTAAAAAGCCATTGGGGGTTCTGGTAGAGCTCAGGGTTGAAGTTTTAGGGTTGAGGGGTTTAGGGTTTTATGGCTTAGGGCTTAAAGCCCCCGAAACCCTAAACCCTAGGGTTTAGGGCTTAGAGTCCCCTAAACCCCAAACCCCCGGGTTTAGGGTTCCGGGTTTGCAAGGCGGCCGCGGGTCTTACTTAAAGGATCATGGGACTTAGTAACCAGGGTTATAATTAGGGTAACTATACTTATATAACTACCATAACCCAAATTAGGGTCCCTTGTAGGGTACTTATACGTCTACTTACTACCTACTTACTACGTCCCCCGACCCTCCAAGTAGGGTCGTGAGTCTCATCTTGGGAGGGTTGTGGGTTTCCGGACTTCGGCTCCAGGGTTCAGGGTAGAGGGTTTAGGGTTGGGGGTTTCAGGGTTTAGGGTTCAGGGTTCAGGGTGTAGGGTTTAGGGCTTAGGGTTTATAGGGTTTAGGGTGGATGGATGGGTGGATGGATAGATGGATGGATGGATGGATGTGTGTACCTGTGTCTGTGGTGATGGCGTTCTTTCAACTTTTGTGCGTTTTCTGTTCCTTGAATACAGATGTCATTCTCGACGGAGTTGATGACTGATTTCGGTTCAGGATTTCCTGCCTACGGTTTAGGGTTCTAGGGTTTAGGGTTTTAGGGTTTTTGGGTTTAGGGTTTAGGGTTTTAGGGTTTTGGGATTCCCTTTAGGCTTTTTTGTTCGCTCGTAGTCGTGCCTGTCGAGGCAACGCTACCAGCACTGCAATGTTTGCCTGGAGGGCTTGCAGGAGAAGGAGAGCAACTTGGTTCATCCAAGGATCCCGAGTAGGAGTGCAGAGGTGTTTTCGAACGTAGGGAAATGCAGGGCTTGGTTTCTATCCATGGTCTGTGAGTGAGAGCCCCACACACAATGGTGCCAGGGTTTCACCAGCTTGCGAGGGTGCTTCGCAGATGTCAAGACGCGGAGTTGTGGATATGGTCTGAATCACGTCTTATTCATCAAGTTTACGGATCAGGGATGCCATAAGGACTTCAGTTCTGCTTGACAGAGGCCTGGACGTCGGTGATCCAACGCATTGCCTGATGTGGCTTGTCAGCAGCATCTGCAGGTACACGCACCACATATCCCCACCTTAGCATCGAGGCTTTTGTTCCGAGGTCCATGCCGACTATTACAAGGGGGCCTACCGGATTCGGACACTGAGAAATGAGTAAAACAGTAGTCGTCGTCGTAGTAGCAGTAGCAGTAGCAGTAGTAGCAGTAGGAGTAGTAGTAGTAGTAGTAGTAGTAGTAGTAGTAGTAGCAGCAGCAGTAGTGGTAGCAGTAGTCGCAGTGGTAGTAGTCGCAGTGGTAGTAGTAGTAGCAGTAGCAGTAGCAGTAGCAGTAGCAGTAGCAGTAGCAGTAGCAGTAGCAGTAGCAGTAGCAGTAGCAGTAGCAGTAGCAGTAGCAGTAGCAGTAGCAGTAGCAGTAGCAGTAGCAGTAGCAGTAGTAGCAGTAGTAGCAGCAGTAGTGGTAGCCGTAGTCGCAGTGGTAGTAGTCGCAGTGGTTGTAGCAGTAGCAGTAGTAGCAGTAGCAGTAGCAGTAGCAGTAGCAGTAGCGGTAGCGGTAGCAGTAGCAGTAGCAGTAGCAGTAGCAGTAGCAGTAGCAGTAGCAGTAGCAGTAGCAGTAGCAGTAGCAGTAGCAGTAGCAGTAGCAGTAGCAGTAGCAGTAGCAGTAGCAGTAGCAGTAGCAGTAGTAGTAGTAGTAGTAGTAGTAGTAGTAGCAGTAGTAGCAGTAGCAGTTGGGGTTTTAGGGTTTGGGGTTTAGGGAGACCCCTGCCGAAACGAAGGTGCGGCTACGCGGTCTGCGCACAGTGCTTGGCCAAGCGGACCTGGCTGAACTCGCTCTTCCCGGCGGGAGGGAGGAGAGGGGTCGCTCCAGTATGCTCCAGTGCCTTCCAGGGTCAATAGGGTTAGGAGCTTTGGGTTTGGCGGCTCAGGGCCTAGGTACTATAAGGGTTCCTTTAAAGGGTACTAGAAGGGATTTGGGGTTCGGGAATCTAGGGCCTAGGGTTTAGTGGTTTAAGCAGGGCTTAGGGTTCGGAGTTTAGTTTGGGGCTGCGAGGGTCTAGGAGTTTGAGAGCTCAAGATTCTTTGTGAGCGAGGAGAGCTTGTGGTGTAGGGTGGGAGGTGGGCCGCATTGCAGGACTTGGATGCGGCTGTACATGGAAGGCCCCTCCGGAGCACGGAGAGCTGATGTGAGACTGCGGCATCTGAGGTCCAGGGCAGGGTTTAAGAAAAGGTTTGGGGCTTGCGTGGGAGTTTCCGAATAAAGGGAACCCTAACATAGCAACCTAAGTAGTAGGATCATTATTACAAGGACCCCAAAATGAGGTACCTCTGATTTTCGGAAACTCCCATGTTATCCTAGACCTAAGCCCTGAAACAAGGCTTGTAACGTAGTTTACAGGGTTGAGCGGCTGATGTTGTTGCATTCATGCATTCGGGGTCCAATTGTCTCGACAGGTTGTGGGTTCAGGTTTTCTCAGGATTTGTGCTAAACCCTAAACCCTAAACCGTGGATTGATTTGTGCGTTTTCAGAAGTGTTTGCCTTCTTGGAGAACATGGCTTTTCGGGCTTTGGAGGCTCGCTTACTCTGACAGCATGAGGTTCCTTCGCTGAGGGCCCTGCTTAAAGGATCATGGGACTTAGTAACTAGGGTTACTTTTAGGGTAACTATACTTATAACCCCAAGTGAGGTACTTATAACTTACTTGCTAATCCCATGATCCTCCAAGTAAAAGGTACCCGAACTAGCACAGAGAGCTTGCAGAGCATGTCATGAAGTATACCGCCGCTAATGTAAGGACGGCCTCAAGGCCTCACATCCTGGCAGATCGCCCTGAGAAAACCTGAGCCCTACACCAACTAGGACCTAGAGTAGGCCCTTGTTCCCTGTGAGCCAAAAAGGGCACCCTTTTTATTCCTAGGTTACTCTTGGGTCTAGCCAAGGCCTGAACCCTAACCCCCTGAAGCGCAAAACCTTAAACCCGTAAAGCCATAAACCTTTAAGCCCTAAAGACGATGAGGCCTGGAGAGTCAGGGGAGTTTCCTGTGTTTGGAGCGCTTCAAGTTGCTTTGGCTCGGCCGCTTGGCTTTGGATTCGGGCTTTGGGTTAAGAGTTTCAGAATCTCAGGGTGGAGAGTATTAGGGGTTGGGGGTTCCAGAGGTGTTCTATCTGGGTTTCAAATTGCTAGGGTTTAATCATAGGTGTTCTATCACAGAGGTGTGGAGTGATGAGTACAAGATCTGAAGGGTTCCAAGGCTTCGAACAGATTCTTATGCGGGGTTCTACAAGAACTCTTTAGGGTTTGAGGGTTTAGAAGAGTTCTATAAGCGTGCCTGCCAGTCTTCTGCGGGGGTCTATGGCTTGCACCATTAGGCATTCACTGTCAGTCTTCTGTGGGGGTCCATGGGTTGCACCATGAGGCATTCAAACCAATGCACGCATCCCTCGAGAAAGTCGTAGGACACTACCACAATACGCAACAGCCCTAGACTTTAGGGCTGTTGCATATTATAGTAGTGTCCTACGACTTTCTCTCTTTAAAACCCCAATCGCAATGATGTACGACCCTTTCTTCGAAGTAGCCAAGACATCAGCTGAGCAATATCGGCTGTGACGGGTCCGGGCCGAGTCCGTTGAGGTTTCGGGGCATCTCTCAGCCTCCGCTGTCTCGAAGGTTTCTGCTACTTCTACTTCTACTTCTAGTTCTACTAGTAGTAGTAGTAGTAGTAGTAGTAGTAGTAGTAGTAGTAGCAGTAGTACTACTGCTACTACTAGTACCACCACCACCACCACCACCACCACCACCACCACCACCACCACCACCACCACCACCACCACCACCACCACCACCACCACCACCACCACCACCACCACCACCACCACCACCACCACCACCACCACCACCACCACCACCACCACTTCTCATGCTCTTGCTACTGCGACTGGCACTGCTGTTTCTATTCCTGGTGCTGCTGCTACTATTACTGCTCCTCCTGCTGCTGCACTGCTGCTACTGCTACTACTGCTGTGATCGTCACCCCTTACTACCACTACCTGCCATACCTACGACTCACAATCAAGGCCACCCCCAAATGGACATTGTTCGTGTATTTCGCGATTGGCCGGGGAAAGGGGCACCTCTTAGGAAGGCTTTCAGAAGCTCTCAATGGTTTTGTTCCCCCCAAGCTTTGCAATCGAGAAACTTTCAGGAAACTTTGGAAACCCTAAACCCCTAAACCCTAAACCCCTAAACCCTAAACCCCTAAACCCTAAACCCCTAAACCCTAAACCCTCTTTGTCAAGAGTCTCAGCCCTCAGGCCCTAAGGCGGCTTCGTTAACAATCAAACCCGTAAGACGGCCTTAACTCTTAACCAGCCCTTCCGCTTATTGTAGGTTTCATGCAGCCCTGAACCCCTGGAAGCCTGCCGGAAGCTCTTAAGTATGCTGCCCGTAAACTCTTGCCGTCGAGGAGCTTGTAGCTTGTAATGCAGGGTTCTAGCTTGCAAAAGGCATGTAAGTATGCCTTCGCGAAAGTTCTGCGATGATGTTGCGAAAGTTAACTGTCGCGAAGACTGTCATTTCGGGATGAAACAGTTTAGAACAGCAACCACATATGTATATATATATATATAGATATATGTGTGTGTCTATCTATGTATATACAAATATTTCACATATGTACACATACATGCATGCATACACAGATCCATGCGTGCACAGGCACACACGCACACACGCACACACACACACACAACACACACACACACACACACGTATGTATATATATATATATATAGCCCTACTCACCAAGTCCCCATGTTCTTGACCGCCGTAGTTCGAACTCGGAGCTTTGCATCAAGACTTGACACCAACTCCCAGACGAACACCCACGCGAGCAACAACGAACAATAAGCCGATGTGGGAAGTTCCAGCGATTCATGCTCACTGTCTTAGGGCCTACGGCTCAAGAACTTAAGGCGTTGAGGGCTTAAGGGTTTAGGGTTTAAGGACTTAAGGTATCAATTTAAGGGTTCGAGGGTTTAGGGTTTAAGGACTTAAGGTATCAATTTAAGGGTTCGATTTAGGGTTAAAGTTTAAGGACTTAAGGTAAGGGGTTAAGGGTGTATATAGGTCTACAGGGAACTCCAGAAAGTTGGAATATGGTTTCATGGTAGGATACCCTATAATTTACCATAGAAGGGTTAGGATAATCATATTCCAACTTTCTGGCTTTTACCTTAAGGGCTAAGGGTGCAGGCTCCGGGGCTTTCCAGTGTGACGGTTTGAGCTTGCCGAGGACAGGTCTTTCGCCACCACCGGCCGCTTGATCTTAAACTCTGGTTGATATGCCCTAAATTATAGTAGTAGGATCCCGAATATGATGTCAGGTATATTTTCTGGTTCTTGTGTCGCTTTGGTTCGGCGGTGTTTCTGACAGATATATTCTTTTGCCGACTCGCAGTGGTGGCGCGAAAGGCAATCACACATTGGGTGCAGAAGTAGCTACAGTGGTACCATTTACGAATGCAGTACGGGATGGCAACTGACTGGGCATGATTGTTGTGTGTTCCGGCCAGTGAAGACGCTCCTGGTTGCGGAATGGGGTCGTATACGTTCTTTTGCCTAGATCCCCAATACCCAACCTTTAAACTTTTTGGGCTCTCATATTTTTTTTACTAGGAGCCGGAAAGTTTAACCTTTCATTTCTGTGGTTTGTTGGGATCGAGTACACACTTGCATCAGAGGCCTGGATCCCTCACCTTGAAACAGGACCTTCAGCAAGCCACAGATGATGGTGCTGGCAGTGAGGCCGGCGGAACATGTTGAGTGTTTTACCGGAGTTTGTTGGTGCGAAGGTCTTGGATTTTGGTTTAGGGTGTGCATAATGACTAAGCAGAAAACCAGGCGACCACGGCAATTGTGCTGATGATGTGAGCTTGCGTGATACGACCGCTGTAGCTACATAAACTCTATCAAATAGTCCTCTACCACCCTCATGCGCGCCGCTATCCCTGCAAGCAGGGTTCACACATGGTAAGCAACACTGTCGGCATCACTACGAAAAGTTTGCAAGTGAAAACTACCTGGTAGTTATTGCCGTTGCTTCAGTTGCATCACATTGCCGGGTCCTGCTCGTAACTGCAAGGGCTTCATGTCATTCGCTTTGGTGCCGTTCTCGAACATTACCCGTTCTTTACCTGCAGCTTTGGGTTGCTGTTGCCGTTGCTGTTGCTGTTGCTTTTGCCGTCGTTGTTGTTGTTGTTGCTGCTGTTGTTGGTGTTGTTGTTGTGGTTGTTGTCGTTGTTGTTATTGTTATTGCTCTTGTTGTTGTTGTTGTTGTTGTTGTTGTTGTTGTTGTTGTTGTTGTTGGCGTTGTTGGCGTTGTCGTTGTCGTTGTGGCTGTCGCTGTGGGTTGTTATTGTTGTTATCGTTGTCGTTGGTCGTTGCTCGTCGTTGCTCGTCGTTGTTGTTGTTGTCGCTGTCGTGTCGTTATCATCGTCGTTGTTGGTGTTCTGGCGGTTGCGGTTGCTGTTTTGATTGTTTCGTTTGGTGTGGTCCGCGTGTTTTGTTCTTTGTTGTTGTGTTGTTGGTATGGCTGTTTTTGCTAGCGCATGGGGGTTGTTTTAATTGTTGCTGTTGTTGGCTCTGCTTTGCAATAGCGTCTGATAGCATGCGAATACTGCAGCTGCTGTTTTTTTACCACTATGCCTTGTCTTTAAAGTTGCCACCACCACTTGCTATGTTGCATTCCGACTGTTGCAAATACGTTCCTGAACCAAGAAGCGCGGACATGTGTAATCTCTGCAGAAGCAATCCGAACTTGTAGAAGCAAAAACATATTCCTTTGCGAAGCCTGCTTTGCGATGAGGCATTTAAGCGAGAAGTGTGCCAACACGTGCCCTTGCCTCCGCTATTGGGCCGGCAGTTATGACAGTGTGGCCCCGTGTCTGAGAGCATGCAGTCTTAGAGCTTAGGAAAGTGTCTCCAGCGCTTGGTCCGGAGATGCCTCGGCGAGCCTCTTGGGCCTTTTACGGTTGATGTGTTTTGGGGTTAACCTGAAACCCTGAACCCAAGCCCGAAACTTTAAGCGTTTTTGGGACGTTTATGTGCGAGAGGGTTGCCGCGCGCCAGAAGTGGGAACTGCCGGCATCTTTCATCTCAGGCCTTTCCATGCTTTGTTTGTTTTAGGTTTCTGGTTCACGGTTAGTTTAGGCTTAGGGTTAAGATTTCAGATTTTGAGTTTTTGGTTTAATTTAGGGTCAAGGGCAAGTTAGGGTTGGAGGTTTTGGGCAAATTATTCCCTGCAGCTACGATGGTGCAGACCTAAACCCTAAACCCTAAACAGCATGACCAAGTGACTGAGCCCCGTAGCAGCGCTGGTGTTTTCGTGTACGAGGGCCTTGGAGTCTGAGTTGTGTTTGGCAGTGGTACTACAGGTGCCTGCATGTTAGTTTAATCATTAAAACCAACTGTATTAACAAAAATGTCAGTATTAACAATGTCTGATTTTTCCTCAGGGTGCTGCATTATAAATCTGCGATCATCCCCTCCAAATCCCTGTTCCAAGAACCAAGGTCCCCACTGCTACATTCTAGTTTTAACAGATCCGATAATCCTTGGTCTGTCCGGTTCAGGGTCAAGGGTTTGGGAGGAGTTGGGGTTGGGGTTGTGGTCAAAGGGTTCAGGATGGTTTAGGGATTTAAGGGGTTTGGGTTCAGGGCTAAGGTTATCCATCCAGAAGGGTTCTCAGGCTTATTTGTCTTGGCAGGTGGGTTCAAGCCAAAGCCCTAAGCGCTTATGAGCCCTGTCCCCTAAACCCTAAACCCTAAACCCCTAAACCCTAAACCGCAACACCCGAACCCGAATCTCTTTTCGGCTCAGGGTCATACCTGGTGCTTTGGAACCTGTGCCCACGTAGCCTTTCTAGTCAGGTTTTCCGATCCCGAAAAAAGCTGGGAACCATGAGGTTTGGAGTTTAGAGCCTGAAGAGCACGAGTGGCAGCGCAGGTTGCAATAGATGTAGTAGTCGTTCTCGCCGTCAACGAGGTCGTAGCACGAGCACACCTGCAGTGAAACGGGTAGTTAATATAGAGGCCACAGTAATCGCCAAAGTTGTTCGTTTAGGTTCGCTGCTAGACTTCGACTACAAAATACCCCGAAACCATCATCAATAGCCCTCGAAAAAATTGAGGAAAACCCCAAGCCTCAACCCTTCAGCTCCTTTTGCGACCCTAAAGCTCTGCACCCCAAGCCCTTCAAGTCCTTTGTGACCCTACGGTTGATGATATAAATCCTGCATTACCCATAATAACGAGTATACCATAATTCCCACAGGCCAGGGTCAGTAAGGCAATGCAGGATTTATACCATCAGCCGTGCAACTCCGAACTCTGCCAGATCCTTCGCACCCGAGGTCGGCAGAGGAACGACAAAGACTCGTGAGCTCCACAGGCAGCCTCATCAGACTTCCTTCCTTAACACAGTCTGTTTTTTGCATGTATCCATCAAAGGAGTGCTTGAGGTGTAAAATCTGAGTCCTAAACCTTTAAAGCCCTCAATCTGACTGGCTAAAGCATTAACCTCTAACTCTGCACGAGCCCTAAACCCTAAACCATAATCCCTAAAGTCCTACACCCTGGACCCCTAAACCCCTAACCCTAAACCCTAAAACCCTAAACCCGAAACCCTAAACTCCTAACCCTAAATGGGCTGCCTCAGGCGGAGGCGCTGTCGAGCTGACCGAGCCTCTGATGCAGCTATTTCTGGGCGGTAGTGTATTACGCTATGATGATGTGCTATAATATATAACATAGAATATGATGTTATAACAGTGTACCAGAATGATATAATGTACAATGCAATATGCTGTAAATATACTGTAAGACCCGCTTAGGATTTAGGGGTTAGGGTTTCGGGTTTAGGGGTTTTGGGTCTATAAGGTTTCGGTTTTAGGGGTTTAGGGTGCAGGAATGTCGGTTTGGCTTTTTTGTTCAGGGTTAATTACGGGTTTAAATCTGAAAGCCTGAGACCTCGAGCCCTGCGCCTCCTTTCCCATAGAGCTCAGGGTTTATGTGCACAAGGCTCGCTTGCTAAACCCTCATTCCCTAAACCCGAAGCCCTAGACCTTCAAAATCCCTAAACCCTATAACCCCTAAACCCTTAAACCCTAAACCCTAAACCCTAAACCCTAATCCCTAATCCCTAAACCCTAAACCCTATAACCCCTAAACCCTATAACCCCTAAACCCTTAAACCCTAAACCCTAAACCCTTAAACCCTAAACCCGAAGCATCTTCGACCTTGACGGCTAAGCCCAAAGTCCTAAACCCTTGTCGTCTGCCATCAGACTGTACCTGTATCCCAAAATCTTACAAATAGTATATAGGTTATTAGATAAGTTATGGGTTATGACCCCTAAGATATAGGGTATAACCCTAGAAACGGTAGGCTTTCAGATCCACAGTTGGGGACCGTGCCCATGATCATCTAGGATGCCCAGTAGTACCCTTATTCCCTTTTTGTAGTCCTAGGTCCCTTATAAAGTTACCCAATACTAAAAAGAGAGGCCTTTTTATTCTTAGGTTACTGGGTATCCTAGTCATGTGTCCGAGGACATGGAGGGCAGATCTTTGAGCGACGCCGTGCTTTGGCACGCAGATTCCAAGCTACTAAATGGGTTGTTCATTGAAATTAAGGACCGGTCCTTGTTTTAGGGGAGCCGTGCTATTTTGGTGAACTAAACGGGACCCTAGTTCAGTCATGGGAACTAAGTACTTAAGATGTTTCTTGCAAAGGAATCAGGGGATCTAGAAACAAATTAATTCTGGGAGCGGGGGTTGCGCTTGATCCTAGACAGCTGATTTGGATTCATATTCGCTATTCTATTCTATACATATATAAGCTTCATGATTCATAACATACGAGACAAAACTTTTCTCCACACTAACTTTCATGTTTCTGAAGCCTTCTTTCGGTATGTTTTAAGGATTTGCTCCTGCTTCGCATGCTCCGCTAACCGGCGTTGGAAGTCGTATCGGAAGTGGGTGTTTAGGGTTAGGGTTCCGAGTTGCGCTGCTGTTGGCCATGCTTTTGATCAGAGGAAACGCGGTTGCATTCCTTATTCTTACTTAAAGGATCATGGGACTTAGTAACTAGGGTTATAATATAATTAGGGTAACTATACTTATAACCCCAGTTAAGGTACTTATAACCTTACTTACTAAGTCCCATGATCCTCCAAGTACCCCTTAAGGTATGCTGGGAGTTGCTTGCGAGACATGCCACACCTCGCACATGCTGCTGAACTGCCCCTCCGTTGGCGCGCATTAAAAGTCGTCCTGAACCTTGAACCCGATCCCTCTCTTGTTTCCAAAAACTAACGGCGCAGTTCCAACCCTATGCCCCAAACCTCAAATGCACTCGCTGTGCAGTGCGGGGGCGTACAGGTTTCCTACTCCGTATCGCACTACGCTTTCGGTCATCACAACATCCGAATGACCTATGCGAGTTGAGACTGCAGCTAAAGGCAACCCTATACACCCACCCAACCTTCCCCCTTGCATCACTAAATCTGATGCAGCCCAAGCCTAAACCTTCAAACCCTAAAGCCCATAAATCTCGAATCCCCTAAACCCCCAGCCAAGCGCCCTAAAAGGAACAAGCCCCAAGCAAGAAACGTCTAAATCCCGAACTCAAAGCTCTAAGGTAAAAGCCAGAAAGTTGGAATGTGATTATGCTAAACCCTTTATGGTAAATTATAAGGTATCCTACCCTGAAACCATATTCCAACTTTCTGGAGTTCCCTATAAGCCTGAAGCCCCGGACTCTACACCTTAACCCCGCAACCCCGCACCATAAATTATGAGACAACCCCCACACATACCCCAAACCCTAAACCCAAACCCTAAACCCAAACGCTGAGGCAGCTAAGCATCAAAAGCTTCAGCTCCAAACCCCAACACCCAAGCTGTTTAAGCACTAAATCCCGAAACCCTAAAGCCCCAAACCCCTAAAACCCTAGGATGCCCAGTAGTACCCTTATTCCCTTTTTGTAGTCCTAGGTTCCTTATAAAGGTACCCAATACCAAAAAGAGAGGCCTTCGTATTCTTAGGTTACTGGGTATCCTAGCTAAGCCCCTGGACCTAAACCCTAAACCCTAAACCATCATTGCTACTAAAGCCCTAAAAACCCGGACATCTGACAAAGCGAGCCTTCAGCCACCACTATTTTGGAATTAGGCCCCCCCAAAACTATATTTCAGGGTGGTCTTTTTTGGACGTCATTCCAGAATGGTAGTATACATGGACCCTTAGGGTAATCTTAGACCCTAAACCCTGAACCGCCTAAACCCTAAATCCATTAAACCCAAAATCCTCAGCTCTAAACCCTAAGCCTAAGCCTTAAGCCCAAACGCCTGGTCCCATGCCCTAATATCCAAAACCCTACAGGCCTAGAACCCTGAAGCCCTAAACCCTAAATCCTAAAACCCCTAAACCCCAAACCCTAAGCCCCTATAGATCCCTTTAAGGAACCCCTAGCCCTAGAACAAGCACCCTAGGCCCTGAGCCCTAAACGTGAAAGCCAGGCTGGCAGCCGAGCCCCCGGGAGCCGCCCTTCGCGTTCCGAGAAGGGTTCCTTTAGGTTCCTAACACTAGGGGGTTTAGGGTTTAGGGTTTTTTAGGGTTTAGGGGTTTAGGGTTTAGGGGTTTAGGGGTTTAGGGTTTAGGGGTTTAGGGGTTTGGGGGTTAGGGGTTTAGGGGTTTAGGGGTTACCACGTAGGGCTCAGTAGTACCCTTATTCCCTTTTTGTAGTCCTAGGTTCCTTACAGAGGTACCCAATACCGAAAAGGGAGCCCTTGTTTATTCCTAGGCTACTGGGCATCCTAGAGAAGGGGTCGAGATATGATAGGGTTCCTTTAACGTATTGGCTGTAAACTCAACCTTTCAACTTTTGGGGTTCTTATAACGTAGTCGATTCTGAAAGTTTCAACTTTTGTTTCTTTGGGTTTCGGCCAGTGGGTCAAAGGCACCGAAATCGGGGTTCCTTTAAAGCTTACTTTAATGATTCCTTTAAAGGATCTATGAGGGTTCAGGGTTTAGAGTTTATAAAGGGTTGCTGTAAGGTGCGAGGGTTTCGGGTGCAGGGTTTAGGGTTCGGGGTTTCGGTTTCAGGGTTTGGGGGTTTCAGGATGCTTTATAAGGGTTGTTGGATTATGATTAACACGGATCTAGCAGGGGGTGCTATAAGGGCTCCTGTAGGAGCCCTAAATAGTAGGATCCTTATTATAAGGACCCCAAATAAGGTACCCCAATTTTCGGAAACTACCATATTCCTTGAGTCTCTGGGAACCAGCTCCTAAGTCTTAAACCATCTTAAACTCCTGTAGGAGTCCCGACTAAGGCTTGGCAACACTGCCACTTTTAACATTGCTGCTACCATTACTGTTACCAGTTTAGCTTTTTGGGCTTTAGGGGTCTATGGTCCCTACAGGAGTTGCAGGGTTTAAGGTTTAGGGTTCCCAGAAGGGATCGGGAAGAGTTCCAGGATTTGGAGTGGCTTTCGGATAAGAGTTCCCATGCATTTGTGATCTTTGGAATTGTTGTTTCCAGTATCTTAAGCTACGAGGGTTCCTATGTTATAGGCTTTTGGGGGTAATAGGGTTTTAGGAATGGGTTTAGCTTTAGGCTTCAAGCAGAGTTTAGGGCTTAGAGCTGCAGGGATTTTCCGGGCAATTGTGAGGGCCGCTAATATGATCTACCTTAACCCCACGTAACCTACCTTTCTAAGGACTTATATAAAGAAATCATATTAGGAAACCCTAAAAAAGTAGGTCCCTTAGGGTCCAGGTAAGGCATATTCCTTGAGTCTCTGGGAACCAGCTCCTAAGTCTTAAACCATCTTAAACCCAGCGTCTGCAACCCAGAGCCTCCAAAACCCCTTAGTTAAGGAATATACCTTAAATTATAATAGGATCCCTAATATGATTTTAAGGTATATTCCTTAATTAAGGGGTTTTGGAGGCTCTGGGTATTGTGCCTTAGTAGTAAGTAGTAATCCTTGTGTACTGTTTAAGGGTTCCCTTAAAGGGCTCCCTTAAAGGTTCCCTTTATGGGAAGCTCAAAAGACTCTGAGGGTTCCTTAAAGGTTCCTTTATAAGATGCCTACACTACTAATCCCAAGTAAGAGTTGGGGCGCGAGCTTTCAGAGATCTGTCAGGAGCGAGAGGAAGAAGGCCGCGGGTGTTGGACCGGACTGTTCTGACTTCTGTTGGGTCTTTTAGGCTTCTATCAGGGCTAGCAAGGTTCGAATTGTCTTACAGGTTTCTAGACTTAAAGCCTTTGGGCCTGTTGGCGGGCTAAGGATTCGGATTTGACGGGTTTACCTTCACGGCTTCGGGGCTTGCAGGCTGTAGGGTCTGTCTAGGGGCTTGAGGGTTATTAGTGGGTTCGGCCACGCTTGGGCATTCAAGGCCTAGGGGGCCAAAGATGCCCTACTTGGAGGATCATGGGACTTAGTAAGTAAGGTTATAAGTACCTTAATTGGGGTTATAAGTATAGTTACCCTAATTATAACCCTAGTTACTAAGTCCCTTGATCCTTTAAGTAGGTTCCTGAGTAGTACCCTTTTGTCCTTTTTGTTTAGGTTCCTCTTATTACAACCGAATAGTGGCAAAAAGGGCACCCTTATTACAAAGGGGCTGCTCAGAAGCGTAGTACCGAGACCCTTAAGTGAAGTCCGTTGTGAGATGATGAGGTAATCTGGACATAAATAGGCCAATCTGAACAAGGTACGACGTTTGAGCATCTAGCAATCTAGGCAGGGCACACAAGTGGCAGGGAGCATGGCTGCATTTCTGATGCCGCAATACTTCGATTCTTGCTCTGAAAAATGGTAGTGGTTTTTCCCAAGCCCACAACATTAACAGTTTCGACAGTAGTCTTGTATCTCCATGCAAATTATTTGAATTCAGACTAGAATCGACTAGAAGTTTCGCAACCCGAGACCCACACAAAACTAGTCTTGATCGTGGTGAACCAGAACCCGAAACCATTAGATACCCGTATTTGTGGCTAATATTATTCCTGAGGAACGGAGTCAGTGAAGAGTCTTTCCAAGACAAGAGTAGCTTTTGGGGCTGGGGGGGTTGGGTTTGAACATCACTCACGAGACTTTGAGGCCCCAAAAGGCCACATAAAGAGAAGTATGTCAAGTATGTTGAGGATCCCAAACTGCTTTAGGGCTTCGAGTTTGGGGTTTAGGGTTTAGGGAAGATTCGGGTTTGGGGCCTGGTAGTGGATACACTTCACACTTTTTGAAAATAATACTACCCACTATAAAACTGAAAGTGTGCACTTCTGGGAGTGTTAGTAGGGGCCTTAATAATTACCTCGGGTTCCCTTCACGGGGTTCTATACCTTGGTATGAATTCAGCAACTACGTTTTAGTTGCCCTGAAGGCAAAGAAGAAGACAAAGCTGCCTGGCATCAAGCTCGTCATCTTCGATTTCGACTTGACCCTGGCTGCCGTGCATGCTCCTTCGCCTGCTAATTTTTTGGGCAAAGCGGGGTGTGCTGATTCGGTGTATGCCCTCTTTTGGGTAGGCGCGCTTTGGAGAAAGGGGCGTCATTGCACTTAAAAAAAAAATTGGGGCCTTTAGAGTTTAGGTCTAGAGGAGGCTTCATAATGAGAGTAGGGTTCCTTTAAAAGGATCTTTAAATGGGTCTATAAGGGATCTATAGTAGGGTTAATTACCTATAGTATTCTTCCTTACGGTTCCTTATTATAATTGTACTGTAAAGGAGCCCAAAACCCTATTCTGATTTTTAAGGCCCCTATAGTAGAGGTTTTCTCCGCGAATCATCGCTTAGGGGTTTAGGGCTTACGTGATAATGGTAATGTAGCAGCCTGGACGATTCTAGCTCGTAGCATTCTCCCCATGGTTCCTTGTTATAACGGTTCTGTAATATGTAGTATAGGGACAAATAATTACCTATTACTCTGGGGGTTCCTTATTATAGCTATAGTATAATATTTCCCAAAACCCAAACACGTTAGCATCTCCGATGACGTGTGCCAGACATGTCTGGTGAGGAGCTGGCTACTTTGTTGAAAGACGCAACACAGAAATCGACTGCGAAGAGCGGGGAAGAAGGATCACTAAACCCTAAACCCTAAACCGTTCACTAAACCCCAAACCTCACTGAAGGAACAAGCCTTGTAAAGGAAGTCGAGCTTCAAGAGGCAAGGCCGCTCAGACTAAAGTAGGAGTTGCGCTTGGTGGAACTGCTAGCAATCGCAGACTTGATCAAAATCGACGGGATACTCATCACTGGCGGTGCTGGTAACATTGGCTCTGATCTGCATGGGGTCTATTGTGGCGGTGATTTGGTGGATTGGGAAGCATCAGACGTCAACGTTGGCCCATCTTTGTGGCAGCTGGGTCATCTAGGACCTAGAGTAGGCCCTTATTCCCGTTTTTAGGGTTCAGGTTCCATTGTAAGCCCCTGTAAACCAAATAGGGCACCCTTTTTATTCCTAGCCTGCTCTTGGGTCATGTCGTCTTCCGTTGTTTCCGGCCATCTGTCTCTGTTACTACTGTAACATGGTACAAGATACCATGGACTGAAATAAAACACTTACAGCTGATCTACGTAGATATGTTCATCCGTGCTCATGCAGTTCTGACCCCCGAAGCCCTTGAACTCCATGTTAACCCTAAACCCTAAACCCTAAACCCTAAACCTTAAACCCTAAACCCTAAACCCTAAACCCTAAACCCTAAACCCTAAACCTTAAACCCTAAACCCTAAACCCTAAACCCTAAACCCTAAACCCTAAACCTTAAACCCTAAACCGTTTTTTGTTTCAGAAGTCCGGCTCCAAAGTTTTCGATGCCGCAAGCACTACCGAGGCCTGGGGCTCTGCCAGATCGTCTTGGTCTAGGATGCCCAGTAGTACCCTTAGGGATCTATAAGGGTTCCTTAAAGGGATCTATAAGGGTTCTATAAAGGGTTTAGGGTTTCCGAAATTTAGCCAGATCGTCTTGGTCTAGGACCCAGAGTAGGCCCTTATTCCCTTTTTTGAGGGTTCAGGTTCCCTTATAATCCCCTTTAAACCAAAAAGGGCACCCTTTCTATTCCTGGCTTACTCTTGGGTCTAGTCTTGGTGCTGGAGTTGATACTTTGGGGTGTAGTGGTTACCGGTTTAGGGTTTGTAAGGTTTAGGGGTTGAGGGATTAGGGGTTTAGGGTTTAGGATAATCTTGAACCTGTTTGGGGTGCCTCCAAAGTGTTACACTTGAAGGGTATAAAAAACTTTAAAAAAGCTTTTTTACCTATTTGGGGAGCCTCCAAATTGGTACGCTTGAATTCCCCCTACTTGGAGGATCATGGAACTTAGTAAGTAAGGTTATAAGTACCTTAATTGGGGTTATAAGTATAGTTACCCTAATTATAACCCTAGTTACTAAGTCCTTTGATCCTTTAAGTAGGATATGAGCTTCAGCATCCTTACTCCGCAGTTCTTGGGCCTGATAAACCCTCCTCGGCCCAGGTCTTTCACAATCTCACCGGTGGTGCGGAGGGGCAGGCAGGGAACAAGGGCACGGGTGAGAGCTTCGGGACATGATCTGCTCAAAAGTGGTGTTCAAGTGTAGGGTTCAATGAGGACTCAAGCATGACCCTAAACCCTAAACCCTAAGTCCCTCCTAAGCAGACTCGGAGTCGCAACTCAGACGGCTAAGTTTCTCGAAGTAGCACTCGACAGCGCACAATCGTCGCAATCGTGAGTGTTTTTGATGCTGGTTCTTGGGTTAACCGTCAAGACACCATCGAAGCACGCTTGCTCGAATTACCGGCTTTGGTCGTTGTGCTCTACAAGGACTGCAAAAACACCTTCCTACAGTACTTATGGTTAAGCCGCTATACAACCTAGGATGCCCAGTAGTACCCTTATTCCCTTTTTGTAGTCCTAGGTTCCTTATAAAGTTACCCAATACCAAAAAGAGAGGCCTTTTTATTCTTAGGTTACTGGGTATCCTAGCAACTCAATGAGCCGCAAAGTTGCTCAGGGTGTCGGCAGCTGCATCGCCAATCCACCATGGGCCACGACGGAGCGAGGCCCGCTTGGAAAGTGACATTATAGGATCCTTAAGGGAGGGTGGTTCAAGGTGGGAGGGTATAAGGAATCCTTAGGGGACTGTAAGGGAACCTTAGGGAGTACTAGGGAGAATCAGGGATCACTAGGCTATATACCCCCCTTGGACCCCCCTCCCTTAAGGATACTACAATGACAGGGTGCAGGAGCAAAATCCTGAAACTTGTGGACCCCTAGGTCGAAACTCTAAACCCTGAACCCCAAAACCCTGGACCCGAAGCCGTGCAAAAACAAAAGTGCAGGTAAATCCCAACCCTCATGAACCCTAAAGCCCTAAGCCCTATTCAGTAGTTGGGCTTGAGGTGTTTTCCTCCTTCACTTCAGGCCCCTTTGTTTTACCAGGTAAGGTCGCTTCTCCTCGTGATTCAGGGTTTAGAGTTTTAGGTTGTTAGAGGCCAAGCTCGGTTCGGGATCGTGAGCCTGCGTGCAGAGTTTAGGATTTGCTGCTGGGGCCTGGGGTTTAGGGGTTGAGGGTTTCGGGGTAGGGTTTAGGGTTAGCAGCCGATGCCGCAAACTCCGCAAACCCCCCCACCGACCAGGACCCCCAAGTGTCCACGCGTGGAGCGGTTATGGTTCTCAATTATGGGTATTCAAGGTACAAGAGAGTTGTTACCCCGCGCCCTACACAGGGGTCTCGGTAACTGTTTCGGTCTGGAGGTTCCTTGCTTTGGATTCGGCTCTACACCCTGAATCGCAGGCGAAAAATGTTTTGACACAAAAAAACAAAACAATGACCCCAGCTCTAAGCCGTTGCAAATTTGACGTCTTACGAGAACCTGATGCTGCTTCACTCTGTTTACTATGTGAGAAGTGTTTCGCAATCACTACCCGAAGACCCGATAACTCGAAAGCCGTAAGCACTGAACACGACAACCTCAAACCCTGAAAGGTCTTAGTCGGAGCCAGAGCTTATAAAATCCTGACCAAGGCTGAACAGTACATTTCCTAGGCCCCCAACCCCTACACCCCTGAAGCGAACAACGACAAAGAGCTTTCGAAACCCTATCTAAAACCCTCAGTCCTAAACCCTAAACGAACCCTGAACTCCTGAACTAAATCCCTCTAAAAGCCTCTAGAAGCCCAGTGCACCCTATCAAAGGTTAAAGCCCTTAGCTGCCCAAGCCCCACTTGTAGAAGAACCCATGGGTTGCTTCAATGAGGGTCCTTTACAGCGCGTATATAGCAAGCGCTACTTCATGGGTATTCTGAGAACTGTATCCTCTTCTAGTGATTAAAGCACCCTGTATAAAATAAGTTTAGGCCCCTCAAAATCCCACAAGGGAAATCCCGTATAGAAACCCGAAGCCCGCGCTCCCTTCCTGGAATCCTTTCTTATTGAACCGTTTGAAGATTAATACCTTCCCCCTAATATTAACCCCCCCTCCCCCTAATGTAAAACTTTATTTCCGGGGTTCTAATTTAATAATAGAGGGGTTGTGTTCGGGGCATCCACGTATGAGTCGGATTGAGAATAATATAATGAGCCAGACACAAAGACCGCCCATCACGCAGCCGTTCCGGCTGTAGAGCCCTAAACCCTAAACCCTAAAGCCCCGGAGCTCTAAACTCTATAAAGCCCCGAACCCTAAAGCCTTAGACCCTAAAGCTCTGGTCTCTTCGGTTTGATTAGTACAGCTGTAGTCTTTGGCTCTATTAAATCTCATACAATTCTGGCTCCCCACTAATGTTTTTACTTAACTTAAAATTATAGGCTCGAAATCGCGAAATCCTGGCGGCGAGTTAAGTTCATATTAGGGGGGCTTTAATATTAGGGGGAAGGGATTACTGTTTGATTCTGACTCCTAGTTATGGTAGTATTGATGTTACAGCCAGGCTTCATCATATTGACTGAGACTTCGAAAGCATTCTAGCAGAAGGCCGAAGGCCTTTAGCCGTTTCTTAAGGTTTAAGAGTTTGCGGGTGTAGGGTTTAGGCAAGCCCGAAACTCAAGACCCTAAACCCTAGACCCCGAAGCCAAAGCTCTGAAAGGTCAGGTGCGTCGGCTCATAGACCTCGGTCTTCCCAGCTTGTTTTTCTTGCGGCTTAGGGTTTAGAATGGGGTTCCTGTTTAGGGTTCCTTTGAAGGGTTAATCAGGGTTTAGCGTCAGGGTTTCTGTAAGGGTTTAGTGTTTAGGGTCTGGTGTTTAGGGGCTTGGCTTCATGAGGTTGAGGATTTGAAGGTTAGGAGTTTCGAGGTCAGAAAGTTTAGGGCTTAAGTGTTTAGCAACCGAGTAACTATCCTTGAGCCTTTTGGCATGTATATACATAGATAGTATATGTATATACATATGTTTATTTGTTTGCTTATGTTTTACAGCTTGCTTAATTGAAGTGCCATCTCAAAGGTTGAGTTTAGCTCCTAGTAGTCTCGACAGGAAGTTACAGGGATCCTTGCAGGGTGCTATTTGTAAATTGCAACCTGGACTCTGAACCATAAAGCCTAAATTACTAAACCCAAAACCCCTCAGCCCTGAAACTGCCAGGGCCCGGGTTCAGCTTCAAAGCTCTGGGCGGTGAGCCCCGCGTTCGACTCCTCTCAGAGACTTTGCGACGGCTAAAGGCGAGAGCTTTCAGTGTTTAGGGGTTTCGGGCTTCGGGCTGAGAATATAGGGTCAAGGGTGCAGTTTAGAGTTTAACTGGGGGTTTATGGTTCAGAGTTGAAGGTTCAGCGAGTGGCATAGAGGATTTTGAGTGTGTTAAAGACTGGGGCTTTCGGGTCTGGGGCTGAGGTTCTTTGCTTGTTCGGGTCAGCGGATTGGGACATGTAGCAATGCACCTAAACCCATAATGGACTCTACGAAACCCAGACACAGCCTTCAAGAAACGGTTTACAAAGGGCCTAGTTTGCGAAGGTTAAGGCGCAGCCATGCGGACATGAGAGGTGTGTAAGGGGAGACTGAGTAAGGCCATCAAGCTGAGGCAGACAATTCAAAGGGATTCACAACGGCAAAAAGGGACAGGAAAAGCTTGTTGCAATCACGTCCTGGTCGCAGCAGCCACCTGTGCAGGAATACGATATTGACCTCATCATTTGCACGAAAGGTCTGGTCGGGACCTGTCGGAAGATACTTCAGGACCGACGGTGTCTTGTTTCCCGAAAGCATCGCGAAGGGTTCTTCCGTGCGGAGCCGGCTAGAGAAGTACATAGATGACAGACATAGCGTCGAGTACATAGATGACATGCAATGACACTATGACTCTATGACTCTATGACTCTATGATTCTGTGACTCTGTGACTCTGTGACTTACTTGCTTACTTACTTGACTCTATGACACTTGACTCCTATGACCCTATGACTCTGTGACTCTGTGACTTACTTGCTTACTTACTTGACTCTATGACACTTGACTCGTGACTTACTTGTTTTCTTACTTGACTCTATGACACTTGACTCTATGACTCTATGACTGACTCTATGACACTGTGACTCTATGACTCTGTATCTACATCTTATAATCTCTCTTCTAAAGCGAGGGTGGCACCGTTGTCATCGATCGGGAATGCAACCCTTCACAAGGATTGGCTTGGTCGAGCGCCCAAACGCTGGGTAAAGTTACCCATTTTAGGCGCCGTGCGCAACTCTTCACAGGGATTGGCCTGGTCGAGCGCTCAAACGCTAGGTAAAGTTACACATTCTTGGCGCCCCGTGCAACCTCAGGGATTGGCCTGGTCTCTGCTCAAACGCTGGGTAAAGTTACCCATTTTAGGCGCCCCGTGCAACCTTTCACAGGGATTGGCCTGGTCGAGCGCTCAAACGCTAGGTAAAGTTACACATTTTTCAACTTACTAGGCGCCCCGCGCAACCCTTCACAGGGATTGGCTTGGTCGAGCGCCCAAACGCCGGGTAAAGTCACACATCCCAGGTTCCCCACGCAGCCCTGCACAGGGATTGGCCTGGTCGAGCGCCCAAACGCTAGGTAAAGTTACACATTTTGCGGTTGACTCGCAACTTTTCACAGGGATTGGCTTGGTCGAGCGCCCAAAGGCTAGGTAAATACACTTTAGATGCGCTTCGAGGCGCAATTTGCAACCCTTCACACGGATTGGCGTGGTCGAGTGCGCGAACTTGCAACCCTTCACAGGGATTGGTGTGATCGAGTGCGCGAATGCGAGGTAAAGTTGTTACTTTTGATGTGCATTGAAAGGAATTTTGCTACCCTTCACAGGGATTGGCGTGGTCGAACGCACGAACGCGAGGTAAAGTTACTACTTTTGATGTGCATTGAAGTGAAATTTGCAACCCTTCACAGAGATTGGCGTGGTCGAGTGTTCGAACGCGAGGTAAAGTTGACACTTTTGCTGCGCATGAAGGTTTGGTAGTAATAGTAGTAATAGTAGTAATAATAGTAATAATAATAATAACTAATAATAGTAATAATAACAATAATAATAATAGTAATAGTAGTAATAGTAGTAGTAATAATAGTAATAATAATAATAACAATAATAATAATAATAGTAATAGTAGTA